TACTGAAAAATCGGGAGATCGGAGAGACTTTTTCAGTGGGTTATTATCCGTATTAGAGAGTGTTTAGTTTTAGCCTGGCCCGAGATTTCGAGACTGTTGCGAGATGAGGAGCCTCTGTGTTGGGAATCGGGGGCTCGCGAGGGATTATACCAAGGAAGATTGACGGTAGGAAATGGAACGAATACGACAATGGACACATAGAAATAGAGAGAGGGAAAGCTTTTGCTATGCTTCTGGCATGAAAAGCTCTCCTCGCTCGGGGGCACGAAGCTATTTCACTTAATGCGGATGCGAAGAAAACGCGTATATCGCGAAGCGCCGTTACGCAAATCTCTTCATCCTATCCTGATTTTCTGTTTCATAACGAAATCTCCGGAGAGAAACAGAGAGAGAGAGAAAAAAGAAGGAAAAGAGAGAGAGAGAATGAGTAGGCCCCTATTCTTAGGCGACGTACAATCGAGCAAGTTATCGTGTTACGTGTTCCTTACCCGATACGTCACGTACAGATATAATACTTTTGGCCGGAACCGGAATTAGGTCGCGAGAAAATATCGACGGCGCGCGCCATAATTAGGATAAGCGTCGCGACATGGAATATCGAAGAAAGGAGAATGACGTGACGTTTTCTCGGTCTCCATTACGCGCGGATTAATTTTAATTTTAGACAATCGCATTTTTTGTATTCCGTGAAATGTGCAAGTATATCTGGCCCCTCTTCCTTATACAAGCTCGAGTCCCAGGTGGAACATAAGTCTTAATGACGTCATCATGACTTTATTCATCACTTAAAAGTTATCTGTACAAAAATGATGAAAAAAATTATTAAAAGATAATTTCGAGATATTAAAGAAAGAAATTATACATTTAAAGCTCCCTAATATAAGATAATTTTTTAAAAATTCATGTTGCTTAAATATTGTTAGAATATGTGCGAACAATTGAATAAATAAATAATTGTAATATAAACATTTTTTTTTCCCTAAAAATTGAAAATGAATTTTAAGTGACGTCATCATGATTTTATTCATCACTTAAAAGTTATCTCGACAAAAATAATTTAAAGATGACAAAACAAATTATAGATTTAAAGCTCCCTAACACAAGATAATCACTTTATATAATTTTCAAAAAATTTATGTTGCTTTAATATTGTTAAAACATATGCGAACAATAGAATAAATAAATAATTGTAATATAAAAAAATTGTTTTTAAAATAAATTTTAATAAACGTTATCTGGATAAAAATGATGAAAAATGATTTAAAGATAACAAAAAAAAAGTATAAAAAAGCTCTCTAATATAAGATCATCGTTTTATATAATTTTCAAAAAATTTATGTTGCTTGAATATTGTTAGAATATGTGTGAACAATAGAATAAATATATAATTGTAATATATAAAAATTTTTTTTCAAATTGACTTTCAAATGACGTCATCATATGCTGTCATTGTGAATTTTATGTTCTACCTGGAATTATTGATTCGCGCAATCAAAGAGACAAATGCGATTATTATCGCGTGACTTTTAAAAACCGCGATCATTTTATTATTATCCGGATAAAACATTGATTTTAATACTGCGAATATCGCGATAAAAAGCGTGATTTTTGCGTAATCGATGATGATTCAATATCTCGCGCGTCCATTTCCTGTCATATTGATTTCCAACAAGTGTCATTAATTATCTATTAAGAGCTTTCGATAAGAACATCGAGAAGAAAGAGAATTCATGAAAATTTATCATAAAGCTTCTTCCAAAAGGAAGACTAATTATTTCATTAAACATTGCTTTTTATACAAAAGTGAGGAAAGAGGAGAATCTATTTTTATTTTTTCATATTTTAACATCGATATTATTTTAATACACTTTATTATTAACGCGCGAAAATAAATTGTATTTTGTTATAAATTTACTGTATTAAAATATTTTACGGCAAATTGGTTTATTGCTTTTTTAGTGCCTGCAACACGCGATGCACAAACATCGATACTGCCCTCTCTTTTTGATATTTAATTGAGATCGGAAGATTCCAAATTATCGCGAAAACCAGTCATCGATTCTACGAGAATAAAGAAACAGCCGTTAATTAAGCCGTCGACCTACATCGACAATATCGCGATTCTTAATCTGTCCCTTAAAACTGATCAATGTTACGCGTTGATTATTAATCGCTTCTCGCCGTATAATTATTGCGAGTGTCGCCGTTCGTTTATTCCGCGATTAAAGATCCGTTATAAACGTTCGTGTTCGATCGATTCTGAAACCGCCAAAGCGCGACCAACCGCAACCAATTTTATTTTACCCGATGCTATGTCCATATAATCGAGCCGTGAAATTATTTTCCACAAACTCTTTATCCTAAATAAAGAAAATCAATTTAAAAAAAAATTGCATTTTAAACAAAATGTCATTCGAAAGGATTTTTATTGAAAAAAATGTATTAAAAAAAAATCTCGCTTAAAAAATTTTATTGGAAAAGAAATTCTTTTAACAAATTTGATTGGAAAAGAAATTCTTTTAACAAATTTTTCTAAAAAAAATTCTTCAAAAATATTTTGAAGAAAGAAATTCTTTAAAAAAATTTTATTGAAAAAGAAATTCTTTTAAAAAATTTTCTGAAAAAGAAATTCTTTTAAAAAATTTTAAAGAAAAAATGCTTTAAAATAATTTTATTGAAAAAGAAATTCTTTTAAAAAATTTTCTGAAAAAGAAATTCTCGAAAAAATTTTAAAGAAAAAATTCTTGAAAAAAATTTGATTGAAAAAAATGTTATTTTATAGCAAAAAATGACATTTATTTCAACAAATTGCAGCACGATATTTTTCTCACTTGTCCTTTGTGATCGGGATCATTGATCCTCCGCACGTCTTGGAGCTCAATCGTGGAGCGTCTAACAGTGGATTTTCATACTCCTGATATCTGATTAGCTCTTTTTAGGACAAGAGAATTGAACGGAGAAAAATGTGAGAACGTGGGTCGAATAAATGGGACGATCTTTCGCTATTGATTCGCGCTTCTATAACAGCGAGTACGGGAGATATCGCGCGATCGCACGACGTTGCTCTTTCTTGGGATCCTTATTCTTCTCCTTTTCTTCCGAAAAAATGACGGCGTATTACCAGGTATTTTTCGACTCACCTCTGCCCGAATTTTACCTTGAGATGCCAATAAGTCGTCCATGCGTGCGCCTGAGGATGCTTTGATAAGATAAGCTCGAAGTCGCATCTCGCGTTGTGTGTACGCCTCGTTCTGATAGGAGAGAAAAAAATATTAGAAGTTTTGCCAAGAACGAACGTAGGTAAATAAAATCGCACGACTGCGTCGCGAGAATTTATTTCAAACGCAAATGCGGAAAGCAAAAATATGTGGTTCCGAACATACACGATAATATCAAGAAATAATGTCTTGCGAGATGTAGATTAATATTTCAAAGCATCTGAATATTTTACTGTTAATTATATTATTACGTGCATGATATAATCGAGATAATAAATACAGTATCGAAAATAATATATCTCAAATTTAATTAATTTAAAATGTATTAATTTTTAACTTCAACTATTTTTACTTTAAACTTATTAACTTTTTTCCTAAGTTAAATTTTTTTATCTCTGAATACCATTATTGTTTTTTTATAAGTTATAAACGTATTGTTTTTAAATTAAAGTATTATTAATTTTTATGTTCATTTGTCATCAATTGTAACTACCAAAAATATATTTCTATATATTTTAAAAGAATTAACAAACAAAATTCTAATTTAATATAAGTAATTCCTTATAGAAATTTATCACTAGTAACGCCAAATTATCACTTATTTCGAGTACTTAAATTACTGTATATCAATATATTTTAAGTACTCGAAATAAGTGATTAATTGGCATTACTAGTGATAAATTTCCACAAGGGATATTTTTAAAAATTAACTTTTGATTTAACTTCAGTTAATTTAAGCTTAACTGAACTTTAACCGAGTTAATTTTTTGTTCATAAAACTTTTAACTTAACTAAATTATAATTTATAGCTAATTTTAACTTAACTTAATTGTAAAATATCATTAACTTATCCAACTCTACAAATTTCCGGAGTAATTATAAATATAAAGGTTTTACAAAATATATAAATTATCTATTTCATAAATATATATACATACATATATATATATATATATATATATATATATAGAGAGAGAGAGAGAGAGAGAGAGATTCCTAAAATATAATATATATATTTCGTGCATATATATAAATTGCTATTTATAGAATATATAGATATGATTAAGTGTGCCATAAAATCCTTTTTCTTATTATTTTTATTATTCATATAATAATATTCTCTACTTATTCAAGCATCCTTGTTGCAGGTTATTTTACATTCACATGTAAAATGAATGAAAAGACCGTATATACTGCAATATCTCGACAATAAAATAAACTCAATTAAATTTCCTGCGTCTCTCGTAAACTAAGAGTTCGTTTCAAAGCTACATAAGTTCGAAATAAAAAGAAAATACCTTTCGATCGATTATAATTTCAATGCACTCGCCGCCGCAGATTATCAATCGTTAACCGTAATGGCGGTTTGAATCGACACTTTGAATTCGCGACGCGACGACGCGATGATGAAGGATACATATCGACATATTTTATTCATCAGATTCCTCAAAATATAAATAATTGATCGATCTAATGTTTTTAATCCTCGTCGCACTTACCATATCCATCGTTCTTGGCCGATTTCTTCAAGATCGCGATCGAAATTCCTTGCGAAAATACACTCCGATCAGTCGCGTCGGAATACGTCCGCACTCCGCGCATGCGCGCGCACAACTGCGGCGCGGCAGCGCGCCGACCTGCGCATGCGCGCCCCTAGCGGCGGCACGGCGAACTGCGCATGCGCGCGCCACTGACAGCTGACAGCGCCACTGACAGCTCCGCTGGACCTAGAAGGGAAACTCGCGCCAGCTCGTTGCCGATTGGCCGAGATCGTTCTCGACCAAAAATGAACGGGCAAACCAAGTTCGGAAAATTGTGGAAAATTTTCTCTCCGCGTCGTAAATAGACGTTCGCGTCCGACGCTGCTGCTGTAGGCGTCCTGCGTGTAGAATCAATCGGTGACGCGCGCAACGAGGCCAGGAAGATGTAACGCAACTCTCGCATTCCTTTCGTCGCACGTGCGTGTCTTTTATCAACGAGATATCACGGGGCATCGTCCGCTCAAGTTCTCCGTTCGTGTCAGACATCGGTTCTATATCTTTAAGCATGAATGGGCAGGTGCATTCCTCGCGGGAGAGGTTAGGTGAGTGAACCCTCGCGCTGTTTACGCGATTTTCGGCAGTCGGATTTATTCGTCAAACTTTGAGATTTTTGTGCATTTTTCTCAGCCTTCTCGTCTCCTCCCTGCGTATCTGCATTGATCTCGTTCGTTCGGAGGCGAAATGCCTTCACGTAACGCGAAGGGCGTGTGCGTGTATTTGATACGTATATTATGCATTCTTGCAAAATTTGGCAGTGAAAGTGCATCGCGCCGATAGGACAGAGTCTTGTGTAAAAATTTTCATCTCGTCCCCGATGATGCTTCTCAAGATTTTTCGCTGAAATATTTCTTGAATTTATCGTTCGGCTGTTTTGCAATATTTATTATGTTTGTTTCAAACGATAAAATTAACAAGAACATATAATTGCACGATATGTAAGCTAAATGCAATATAATGAATTAAATCTTCAGAATAAGAAATAAAAGTGAAGTTGAAATTAATTAAATGCATCTCTCTGTCAGAATATTAGTAATTTTACATTTATTTATTTCTTTTTTTGTGAATATCTTTATTGGAGCTTGATATAATTTTTATCTTTGAATCTTCCTCCTCAAAAAACAAAGAGTATACTATTTCTGTTAAAAGGGAGACAAAGTTGCCTGCTAATATTAGCTATTTTTATCTTTGTTTTGTGTACTTATATATTTAATCTATGTTAAGTGGTATCGTAAGCTAAATAACCGGTTCTGACACCTATACTCCGGTATAGAATTACGTGATAAACACCTTACCAACAAGATAAGAAGTGCAAGAAAGGCAACACAGGCACGTCTCTTAATTTGTTTACTTTGGTGATTTACGTATTATAACAGTCTGCCAGTGCTAATTGCAGAGCCAGCATTTATAGTCTGGATTATATGTATCAGCGAAAGCCAGGTATTAAAGCACAGAATAGTATAATAAAATTAATAAAATGATAGAAAAAAATTATATAGATGAGGAAACAGAGAATCAGTAGTAATTAATATATAAAATACATATATAGAAATAGCAAAGTGATAGTTATGGGAAATTAAAATAATTAATAAAGAAAAATGTTGCATACATAACAACATTAAGAAGATAATAAAAAATATATAATAAAATAATAAAATATATATATATATATATATAATAATAAAATATTCTATATCGTGCAAGTTATAATAATATTCAACTGTCAAATCTGACTTATGAATTATAAATATTATAGTTTTAGAAAACGAGTTGAAATATTGTCTCGTCTTTTTATTTGATCTTTGTCTCAACAAAATACATTGAAGATGTCAGACGTGGAATACTTCAATGATACTGTTTCAGGTTGTTTTGGCCCTGCCAATTTCGGACTATTTTCCGGGATGATCCCTGATCGTGTACCGGGTATACAAATTCCGATCTCTGATCGCGGTCTTGGACCATCCGAGATACCATTGGACGACAGCATGGCTGTTACGGAGGTCGACAGCAAAGTCAAGACTAAATTGCTCTCCATGTGGAACAATGTTAAATATGGTTTGTATATTTTTTTTATTTTGCAGTCAGATTTCATAATCATTTTATTTTTCAAATTTTTATATATGTCATGATTGACATATTAATAATAAAATTATACACATATATAATATTTTACTTATATAATAGAAAATTTATAATATATAATAATATATATATATATATATATGTATGTATATATATACATTAAAATAAAATATTCTTACATCAAAAAAAGATAGATTTTTATAATATTAATTTAATAATAGTTTAATATAAATTCTCATAAGAATTGTAATATAAAAAAGTTTCTCCTCTTAATAAAGGCTGGACCGTGAAGATGAAGACAAACTTCTCAAAGGAATCTCCAGTTTGGTTGCTAGGTCAGTGTTACCTAAAAAAATCGGAAGATCCTTTGGAGAGGGCATCGGAAGCTTTAGAGCCAGTTGGTACAGGGAGTCAGGTTTCCTTGGCGATGGATGCCGCAAACTTTGAGAACACGATAGAGGAGTTTAAGAGAGATTTTGCCTCGCGCATCTGGTTAACATATAGACGAGAATTTCAGATACTTAACGGTTCCACCTTTACCACAGACTGTGGCTGGGGTTGCATGTTGCGCAGCGGACAAATGATGTTAGCGCAAGCGTTGGTCTGTCATTTCCTCGGACGGGGTAATTATTCCTTACTTTTTAAGCATATTTTGATCCAACAAATTTTTCTTGATTAAAAAAAAATCAAGTTATGAATTAATTTTCTTTTAAAAATAGGAAAAATCTTGAAAGGACGAATTTAAGATAAGCCTGGTGAAAATAAAAGAAATTAAATGGAAATCAATTCAATTATATTATTATAAATGAGAATTATAACTTTTAAATTCTATAATTTTCGATAGTTTTTAATTTTATTTGATAAGCTCAAATTTTGTTTATACTAATCTGATTGCTATTGTGTTATATTATTAGAACTGAATAAGTTTACTTATTTTAGAATGGAGATGGCGCTCGGAACAGCAAGCCGAAACTCTTGAACAAAGGCTGGACGAGCGTAATCATCGAATGATCATCAAGTGGTTCGGTGATCAATCAGAATCCCCGTTCTCTATACACAGGCTGGTACTTCTGGGCGCTTCCGCGGGAAAACGTGCCGGCGACTGGTACGGACCCTCCTCGGTGGCGCATCTCTTGTGTCAAGCTGTGGAATGTGCCAGCGAACAGCACGACAACAATCTCGATCAGTTGGCGGTATACGTCGCTCAGGATTGCGCAGGTTGGTGACCAATGAATATAGGACTGCATAGAAAAATATCCATTTTTCTGCAGGCTGGAAGTACAATGGAAAGGTAAAAATTTTACGATAAGTTGCGGGGAAGATGATACATAACATAAAATTATCAAAACATGAATTTTTTTGCATACACTGAATTTTGCATTTAAATGTTAAATTTAATAGAAAAGATTGCTGTGCCGAATTGAAGAATTAAATCAAACTTTGTTTTCTATATGTATCTAGTATATCTACAAGACGTCGAGAATGTTTGTCGGACTCCCGATGGTAAATGGAAAGCGTTGGTGTTGTTGGTGCCTCTGCGGCTCGGCGCCGACAAGCTGAACCCCGTCTACGCGCCTTGTCTGACATCGTTACTTACGTTGGACACGTGCATCGGCGTGATCGGCGGCCGACCACGACATTCACTCTATTTCATCGGCTACCAGGACGATAAACTGATTCATCTGGATCCGCATTATTGTCAGGTAGTTTTCAATCTTTTAAATTGAAATACATATATATATTTATCTTGTATTATTTATATTATTATAATATATTTATATATGCATTATAATTGTACATATATTATATATTAATTTAAATATTTGAGATATAATGTTTAAACATGCATTTTTTTCCGCTAAAGCTAATTGTCTTTAAAATTTGTTTCTTCTCCATTACACTTGACGTGTTTATTTTTCAATTTATTTTATCTCATTTCAGTTCACGCTTCATATATTTATCATGTTGACTCATTCTGTAATTATATTACTCGTATTTCTCTCTCTCTCTTCGCATTCTTTATCAGTTACTAAGAACAAAATTTTATTCACTAGATATTGTATTACTTGCCTGCTTACTCATTCGTTCACTTACAGGAAACTGTAGATGTGTGGAAAAATGATTTTCCGTTAACAAGCTTCCACTGTGCGTCGCCGAGAAAGATGTTACTGTCGAAGATGGACCCTAGTTGTTGCGTAGGCTTCTATTTTCCCAATAGGGAGTCGCTCACAGACTTTATGGAGACAATTCGACGAGTAAATATGCATATTTTTAATCCTAATGTAATTGCTTAAGTATAGTTTAGTACAGCAAATAAGATAAGGTAGATATCTCCTCTCGACTTATGTATATGAGTCATTGGATTTTAGAAATAGAAGATAAGTGAAATGGAACCGATTCTTAGAGTGAGATAAATAGAAAGATAAAATCTATATTTAATTTTGTGCGTAAGGGGAAGAATCTCAAGGTAAAACTTATTACAGTTTGTGATACCGAATCAGAAGACGAACTATCCGATGTTCCTGTTCTGCGAGGGAAGTGGCAAGGATCTCCAGCAGGGTATCGAGGTCGTCGAAGGTCTCTTACCGTCTACAACTTCGTTCGTCGGTCACGAAACACTGGAGGACGATCTGTATGAATCTGAAGAGTTCGAGTTGCTGCAATAAGAAAGGACAAATAGGTGATATGCGAATGAATATCGAACGTTACTCTCTCTACTCTTCATATATTCGCTCCTCCGTAGCGAACATAAGAAAACGTAGTAACACGAGCAAGAATTTATTCTACCGGAACGGTAAAATCAGAGCGGAAAGATGCAGCTCCATGATCTCAATGCGTGTTTGAGGATAAGATTAGAGTTTCACGCAATGACCAGTTATTGTTATTTACGAGGTAAGAAATAAGGAAGAGCATGATGTTATTCCCGACGATATTCTAGTACAACTTAATCGATTAAGCTGACCGTATACATATTTTCGATCATGTGCGATATGTATATATTATACACAATCGTTTGAGAAAGCACGATTTTTCTCATTTTCTGATTGTCATTCGTTAGTAATAATTACTAACAAAAAAAACTTGATATGACTTAATATCATAATAATTTAGTAACAATCATTTTTATTTATTTTGCATGTTACAAAGCGATACATTTGTACATTGTAAATCTTGAACTGATTTTGCGAAGACGCGCTTTAAATTCCATTGAATTTAAATCGAACACAATCTTGTGATACTAAGTTTGTAACAAGTTTTGCTAAATTAGCTCTAAAATATAAATGAAAATAAAAATTCGCGCGGAATATAAGAATATAACAGTTCTCAAGTCTGATTTACTTAAAGAAAAACATAATCAAGCACTAACTTATTTATTTATTTATTTTTTTACGACTGAATAAGTCCTGAGTAATTTCTGCCTTGAGAAAGGAATAACGAGGGATTCGTAAGCATGGTATATACAGGGTGAGGCAAGCTAATAGTGTACGCCTAAATATCCATCCAAGAAAGATCTGACATCTGTATCTATTTATAGATCTATAAAATAAAAGGATTGATATCTAAAAATATATATCTAATCGAGATAAAATTATTGAAATTTCGAATATTTTGATTCCTCGAGCGAATTTTTTCCCTGTTATTATACATATATAATCCTATCTTTAAATTGTACAAGTTATCTTTAACAATATTTCCGTGTATCTTTGGCAGACAAAAATGTTTAAAGTAGAAGAGAGTAGAATAGAATATAGAAATAGAAAAGTATTAATTTTTCGCGTTCTGAAAATTAAAAAGGAACACAAGTGGATAATACTCAAATGTGATGACAAATAAAAATCTATAATTCTAAATATATAATAAAATAATGTGTATATATAATAGAAAAATAAGAATAAAAAAGGGGATTAGTTGAAGAATTATTCAGATGTACTCTATTAGAAAGATATGCTTCATCCTGTATACGCATATACATATACAATATATATATATATTCATATGTATATGTGTAATGTACTTATATTGTTAAAGATATCTGCGTAATATTGAACATTGTTATCTCTCTTACATCGATAACGCTATATACACTGGAAATAAAATGAAAAATGTGTGGCGATTAATCTTAGAGTGTGTCATCGATTTTGTTAATCACTACTTTGTACTATGTCTTGAACTTTGGCCAAGCAACTTAGCTCGCAAATAATATATTCGTAAAAAAAAGATAATCACAACAATCGACAACTCGCTTTAACTCGCCTTTTTAAGATGCAAAACGAGTGCTGTTTCAGCTCACTTTGCAGAATTCGAACTAAAGATTAATACGACACGATAAACGTGTACAGGGTGTCCCGAAAGTATTCAATCGCGACAAATCTCTCTCAACCGCTCGTGTTACCTCGACAATTTTTCACTACGGACAAAATTCCTTCATCAAAGAAAAAACGTTCAGTACTTTTGAGACGCTCTGTATATTCGTTGCTACTTTTAATTGGTTCTATAATAATAATATTTTAATACATGTAACTCTCGTGCGCTAAATCTAGTTGCTATCGAGAACTATCGTTATCATTCATCAAATGAAGCTATTGCAAGATCTCGGCGCATCGAAAACAACTATTATTGTCGATACGATATCATTGCAAGCAACGTGACTCACGCGTGTGTGCGTTTGTACGTGAGGAATGAGTACGCAAAGTAACGTGTATAGTGCGTGCTCTCTCGTTATGCTATTGCTAGATGTAAACAGTTTTTGCCGGACAAAAGCGCTTGTTATTCGAGATCGTGTGCACGAATTGGAGAGAGATCCCAGATCGGTTTAAATAGATCTGTCTGTCTCACTTCTCAGATATGGAAGATTGTAAAAGATATCATTTCATGTTTTATTTTTTCATTCTTTTATCTAATCTTTTTTTCTCTGCATCTACGTGTGCGTGAATTTAATTTTTAAATATATATATATATATATATAAATAGATTGATTTAAGAGAGAAGATATCTTGTATCCCAAGTAGATTCAACATATGAGAGAAAGAGATAGAGAGATCTATATAAGATCATCCTCGTCTATTCAAGTATATTTGTCTAGGAAAAAAATTGATCTAAAATTCAAAAGTATTGTGCTATACAATTCTTGATTTTCGGCCACATCTCGTCGGTGGTGTTGCCGTGAAAATCCTTCAATATTCCAATCTCGCGATAAAATCGCACAACCGGCTCGGTCTTCGTCGCGTAGTCCTGCAACCTCCTCTGCACGACTTCCGGTTTATCGTCCTCTCTCTGACTCAACGGCTCACCCGTTACATCGTCTTTACCCTAAAAAAAAAAAAAAAAAAAAAATTAGCATCCAACTATGAATTGTTTGCGTTACAAATTAAGATTCATAGCATGATAGAAGACTAGGTTTCATATATATGTATATAAATGTTGCACAACTTCTATTATGTTATAATCGACTTCTATATATTGTAATGGCATAAAATTAGACCGTTTAGGTTCGCGGCGTTTTGCGCTCTCGTTTACGAGATCCGATTACCGGGACACGTGGGTCGTTGAAACCGATGTTGTAGACCCTTCCGCTGGCCAGATGCACCCACCTACCCTTGACCCGGTCCAGGATGACGGAGGTCGGCACCACGAGATTCAGCACGAGATTGATCGGCTGCAGCTTCTGCAATCGTTCCGCTTGCGTCAACGTCCTCGGGAATCCTGCACCGTTGCCAAGAAATTTGATGCACGTCTACGTTAGCGACAACCTTGACAGCAACACAACTCATTTCCGTCACTCACCGTCCAGCAACCAATTCCGATCCGTCACCGATTCGATCTCCTCGTCGATGAGGGATATCATCGTGTCGTCCGGTACGAAGTTTCCATTGTCCATGTACATCTTCACCTCCTTACCTAGATCTGTATATAAGAAACACGTGCGTTTTTTCCCATAGCTAGCAAACTTACGTCCTTTTGACGTTTATGACGTCAGTTTGCTACTTGGATTAAATCTCTATTTAAAATCGTGCAAAACAATTTTATTGATAATTTTATCGATGTAGATGTATTTTTAAAATACAATAAGAAAACCAGGACATTTCTGTACGATTTTACAATTAAATAGAGATTATTTAATCCGAGTAGCAAACTGACATCATTTTGACGTTTGTGACGTCAGTTTGCTACTCGGATTAAATAATCTCTACTTAATTGTAAAATCATACAGAAATGTCCTGGGTTTTTTTTTATTGATAATGTCGAGATGATAGATGTATTTTGAAAATGAACAAATTGCTGAAGAGGTGAAAGCGCACGTGGAGCTTTATCTCTCATCGAAATGAAAAAAGTTATACGACCTGTCATCGAGTTTATGAATTACAGATTGATGAGTGAAAAAAAGTGGAATAATTTGATCGAAAATAACTTTCGACTGGGAAGTACGGATTGTCGCAAAAAAATCGAGGACGCGTTACCGGTGCCGTTGGACACGTGGAGACGCAGCTTGTCACCGCTGGAGATGTGGGCGACGTCGAACTGCCGGACGATCCTCGTGGAGACGGTGCCCTTTCCGGATGCCGGGGCGCCGAGGATGACGGCCCTGAGGACCGCGGCGGCGCGGCACGTGGTGATCGCCACCATGAGGAAGAGGCTCCGATCTACGACGCTGACTTCCTCCACCGTGCGGTCAACGTGAGTGCGGAGAGTGTCGTGGAAACGTTACGCATGGTCCGGACCCTGTTCTCCTCTTCTTCCCCACCCTTTCTTCTGCTACGATTACCGCGCGCGGACTTTGACAGGACGAGGTAATCAGCTGACGGCGACGTGACGCAGGTGCGTCGTGACGTAACCATCGTTTCGTAATCGTCAGCGCGCAGGCTCGTCGAGGATGACGTCGAGGACTCCGACTGCAGTCGTCTTGGATTAATTGTATAAATTTTTATTTTTTTATTTTTTTATGAAAGTATTATTATATATATTATATTATTTTTATATTATATATATCATAGTATTTTATATATATTCTATTATATATTATATTATAATATATTATATATATTATTTTATATATATTTTAATATATATTATATTATATATTATATATATTATGTTATTTTATATTTATTATATATTAGTATTATTATATTGTATAATTTTAAGAATAACATTCATTCCATAATTCAAAATTTGCGAAGAAAAAGTGTAGTGCGAGGGAATTTTTTGAATATCGCAAAAAATAAATAGCATTACGATGTATTGATCGATATCTCTCCAATAATTGCGGATCCTGATTGAATCGATCAAATATGACAGAATTGTCGATTATAACATGAGGTTTTGAAGCGGAGCGAAATAGCCGCGAAACCAGCGTCACATGTCACGTGTTATTGAAAAATTAAATTGCGTTCGGAAATCTATTCACCGAGGCACAGTCGCATTCTGATTGGCCGATCAGAGAAGCCTCCCGATTGGTTACTCACCTCGATGATAATTTTCCGAGCGCAATTCTCGGATATTTTTGTATTTCTGTATTGGCAGCCCTGTTGGCGGCTAAGACGCCATATTTCTTTCTGTTAGAAGTCGGAGGCTCGTTCTCTCGTAGCTTTTTTCTTTTCGTAAAAATTTCAAATATCGAGTGTCGCAGGATCCGTAATTAAATTACAATCGATTCACCGAAATGTCGGAGGAGGAGCTCCCTCAAAAGATACTGGAGCGGATCACAAAAGCGCAGATGGAGTTGAAACTCAGACTCGAGCAGGTGTCGAAGCTCAGGAGTGAGTGCGATGGAGAATTATTCTCTTCTGTTTTCCTCATTTGCAGGATTGGGTAATATATATAATTAGTTAATTAGTTAAAAGTTAAAAAATTAATAACTTTTAATTTAGCTTAGGTAAATTATTAACTTTTTTCCTAAGTTAAATTTTTTATATATTGTTTTTTTATAAATTATATTTATTTTTTAATTAAAATATTAATTTTTACGTTTATTTGTCATCAATTATAATTACCAAAAACATTATTTCTTTATAAAAATCAACAATTTTTTGTTATTTTTTATTAAAAATTTTAAAAGAATTAACAATAAACAAAATTTTAATTTAATATAAATATATATAATGTTTTTAAAAATTATCTTTTGATTTAATTTAAGTTAATTTAATCTTAACTTTAAAAGTAAGTTAATTTTTTGTTCATGTAAACTTTTAACTTAATAATTAATAAATTAATTTTATATATGTATATTAATTTAAAAAAAAACCATTAACTTATCCAATCCTGCTTATTTGAAATGTTAAAATTAACGAGTCGACAAAAAAATTATAACTTATAAAATGAAAAATGTAATCTTTCTATAATATATTATTTCTAATATTATTTCTTGCGTTGCAGTTGATTGCGCCAGGATGCAACTGGAATTGTTGAAGCTCTACAAGCCGCAGTGTTTGGAGATACTGAAACCATTGGAGATCGTATCCAAAGGCATTCCTCGGAATAATGATGATGATGCTGACGACGCTGACGAATAATTGAAGGTATATCGACGAGAAGATATATTTATGTTGAAATATATTTATTACACTTTGAATATAGGTAGGACTGACACATCGATGACCATGTATCCGTGTAACGCCGTTTTATAACGTAAACAATACTTCTCAGGTAGCAAGCATACGTCACTTTGATGTCAAATGACGTCATTAGATGTCAAAATGACATAATTTTGACGTTTAATGATGTCAGTTTGCTACTTGGCTCGATACAATAGACAGATAATAGATATATTGGATTTTTTTATGAAGATAGACTGACAGAGAATTGGAAGCTGCGTCGCGAGTATCTCTCCTTTCTTCTCTTTTTTTCCCCTTTCTTTCTTCTTTTTCTTCCCTTCATCATCTTCTGGAACCGGCGCAAAATTCTAGAGCTTACGAAAAAAACTTATATTTAATATATATAAAACAAAATCGGCGCAAAAATCTCCTCGCTGAAATTTTTCACGACGCGAGTAATTATTATTATTTTTTTTTTTACACACAGGAAGTGTTACGCGATAAGTACAAGTTGAGGCGCTAGATGAGGAGAGAGACAGACGCGTTTTTTTCTTTTTTTATAGTTTTCTTGCTCTCTTTAGATACTTAACGATAATAATTTATACACATATATACTTTTGTATTTGATTTCGCGCCCGATTTCATTTGCGAGGCGCTCGTCCGGACGTGACGCTGCCCAGGTAGCAAACTGACGTCATTAAACGTCAAAATGACAAAACGTCATTTTGACGTTTAATGACGTCAGTTTGCTGCCTGAGTAATTCGTCGATGATTACATATGTATATCTATCTGTGTTCGAGGGTTTCTACCATTATTGTCCCTATATAATTAATTAATCTCGTTGTTCAGTTCAGAGCGGAAGAGAAAGAAGGTTCGTATGGAGTTTTGGAAAGCGCAAATGTATGTGTATATATGTGTATATATGTGTGTGTATGTATGGCACACACCTCGCAAATAGATAAAACGCCTTGTCAATTTGTTATTTAAATATATATCATCTACTTCTTTTTCCCTTTGAAATAAAAATTCTTACAATTTTCTTTCAACAGATAAATAATGCAATTATTTTTATTAATTAGATATAATTATATATTTTTTTTGAAATTTTTTTCTTAATTCGGGATCCTCTGAAATTATTTGTCGATCTCTGATTTGTATGTAAAATCATGAAAGAGCGTCGTGTTGCAAAAAGGAGCTGGAGTCGAGTCGTACTTTCTTTTTCGAGATCCGAATTTGTGGTCTCGAATCGAAAGAAAATGGACATTCTAAATTTTTATTTGTCCTTTTTTTATTTCGATAAACGATATAATTCTCTTGCTAATTATTTTTTAGATCCAATTTATTTCGATTCGAGAACAACCTTTCGTGCGCCAGCCCGAAATTCAACTCTCAGCGGATACCACAGAGGATCTTCCAGACCCCTATTTAAAAAAAGAAACTTTACAACAATTAATAATTAATATAAAATGCAAGAAAAAAGCCTTATATATATATTCGCGTTACATACTACACACATACAAGATGATATGATTAAAATCAGTCCTTCATAGATCTTTCTTTTTCTAAACGAGATTTTATATGTCAGAGATCACAGAAATTTATAATGAATTATATATATTGTATATATTATATATTATATATATTATACGTATTACATATTATATATTTAATATATTATATATTTAATATATTATATATTTAATATATTATATATTTATATATTAATATATTATATATTTAATATATTATATATTTAATATATTATATATTATAATATATTATATATTATATATTTAATATATTGTATATTATATTTAATATATTTAATACATATGTATTATATGTGTGTATTTTTTATAATAATTTATAATAATTTAATATTTATATGATATCCGCTGAGGATGAATCTCCTGGATTCACGTTTTTATCATTCAAACACCCTTATCGGTGAGCCGCCGATTATCCGGACGAAACATCCTCTGGAATATTAGAGGAAAACTTAAATAAATTACAATATATATGTATATCAAACAAGATTATAAAAACAACAATACAAATTAATCTCTCGATACAAAAATTATCTCCTTGAGCCAGGAAATCAATCTTAAAAAAAATATCCGGACAATTGGCGGTCCGACCGTGGTTTCCGGCGCGGAACCTCGGGGCTTCCTCGGTCTCTTATCGTTCGGACAAGGTTTGCTGCAGGGCGTCGAGAGCGCCCGTGTGATGCGGACGATGTCCCGACGACGGCGACGAGGACGAGGAGGCTGGTGTTTCGTACGCCGACGACGTGCGGAAGTAACGGTGCTCGTATCGCGCGTTATAACGTCGTAGACAGGAGTCGCGGCGCGCGCGACACTGCGCGACCGCGGCCCCAGGAGGCTGCAGCTGCGACAGGAGCAGCGCGGCGTTCGCGCACGAGGACTGTCCCTCTTTGGAGGGACGCAACGTGTCGCAAACCTTCCCGACCTCCGCCGCGTAATTTGCCAGGCAGGGTAGCAACCCTTCCTCGTCGTGCGCCTGTAGTAATGATAAGGGATTCGTTTTATCACGAGGATTATCTCTCCCTGGCTAGAATTTTTGAAATAATCATAGGTATTAGAATGTTAGGAAGAATTTATATATATTTTTTTAAAAGACGATAATATAGATATAAAAGATTTATATATATATTATTAAAAAAGATAAATATGGAGGTAATATATGATATGTATATTTAGAAAAAAATATATAATATTAATATATCTTAATATAGTATATTATATTAATTATATTATATTAAGATATTATATAATATTAATATATCTTTATTTGTATTTTTTAATAATACAGGATGTAACTATATAAATAAGTGCGAAAAATTTTAGGAGATAATTCTTTGTCGAAAATTAATAAGGGTTTTTGTATAAACATATACTTTTATATATCCTTCCTGAAGAGTTATTTTTTTTCAAATTTCAGACAAATTAAAAAATGAAACTTGGTGAACTAATAAAAAAATTTTTTTGTATTATTATAAGGGGTGAAACTAACTTCTATTTCATTTTTAGTACATGTTTATATAAGAAACCCCTTTAATTTTCGACAAAGAATCATCTAAAATTTTTCGCACTTATTTAGATATATCCTGTATAAGTTTTTTCTAACATTCTAATATCATTTTTTCAAATATTGTATGTCTTTTGTTATATATATAAAATTAGTTAAAAAACAGTGAAGAGTAATATGTATATATTTTTAATTAATTTTATATATATAAAAAAAACATTTCTCTTAATATAACATTTGCTTCGCATTAAAAAGCTTTTTTCGAATATTTAAAATAATCTCGTTTCAATATTCTTTTTACATGAAAAAATAAATTTACCTAAATTGGAATTTGTATTTTGTTAATATATTCAGAAAAACATTATGTATATGTTACATACATATAAAATTGAAAGAGACACTGGAGAGAGGATAATATATTTTTTCTGATATGTTGATGAAATGTAAATTCCAGGATATATTTTTCATATAAAAAAAGATTGAAACAAAATTATTTCAAATATTTTAGAAAGATTTTCGACGTGAAATACATATATTCTCTATTGTTATATTTAAAAAAATATTCTCAAAGAAATATTCAAAGTTTGGAAATAAGGAAGAACGTTTTTTTATGTGTTTTATAAAATTTTTATATAAACTACTATTACAGATGAAATTTGCATATAAAATTTTTAAAAAATTATATCGTGGAAATGCAAAGCAAATAAGTCTGTAATATATAAAGATGCAAATTGAGTGTACGTACGCAAGCTTTACATATCTGCAGCTTCACGCAGGGCACGTAAAGCATTCGAGATGAATCTCCGGCTAAATTATCCACGGTTCGGCATCGCCATTCGATGGCTTCTAATTCCGGGCAGCTTCTAGGTTCCTCGATAGCTGAACAATTCAAACAATTGTGCATCATATATATGGTACATAATCTATACAACTGTTACATTTAAACAGATTAATTAAATTGCAGCCCGAGAAAAAATTTTATATATATATATATATATAATATTATATGTATATAAATAATTGTATAATTATACATCGTAATTATAATCGTAAAATTATATGTGAAATATATCTATTTTTATACATAATTATATAACTTTATATTTTATATATAAATTATAAGGGTTCATATATAATCACGTCAAATTATATATGAAACATATATATTTATATATATATGAAGAAATATTTATTTATTATATATATAAATTTATATAATTATATATAAAAAGCACTTTTATCTAATTATGTATGGACATATTTCAGATATAATTTTGCGATTATATGTATAAAAATTTTATATATTTCTATATAATTTTATATGTTATATATAAAAAATTTTTTCCGGGGAGGTAATCAAATTATTAAAAAATAAAATTATAAGAAAGAGAAATCTAGATATTTTTAAAAATCGTCAAATTAATTGTTTCTTTTTCATTAAAAAATTGGCGAATGTTATTGTTGTTAAAGATGAGTCTTTCATATAATTTACATAATTTTCTATACTACTCCCTAAATTTTTTTTCTTATACTTACATTCGCCGTCATCTACGTTATTACTGATACTGTTCCGTTTATCATCCGTCCTACGAATGTTATCGCTATTAATGATAGGGCTACCGTTGCTATTTTCGCGGAAATTGGATGTCAGATTGTGCGCTTCTTTTTCCGTCTTTTGCGACTCTTTCTGAGCCGCGATGTTACTTCGGAGATTGTTCAGCGCTTTCTGCAGCCAGTCAGCTGCCGTAATTCGTGGCCTTACTTTATTATCTAGCAGCTAAACATAAATTTTATTTTATTTTTTGATTATTCGTATTATAATTTATAATTTATTAATTATATTATTTGTGCTGGTCTTTATAATTTATATCTTTCTTGTACATTTTTCGTTTAATCGTAATTATAATTTTAAAAAATTAAATCTAATTTTAATTATATTATATTTGTTGAAAATGTTCATATTTAAATAGTGAAATAATTAATAATTTTGAGAATCAGATACTCTGAGAAAAAAATTTTACACATTTATGTTTATCAAATCAAATAGAATTCTACAAAAATGCAAAGCAAAATTACCTCGTCCTCATCCTCTAAATTGGAATTTCTCATAGCTTCCTTGAGAATCAAGTTTAAGTATCTTAATTTCAGATCCTGCAGTTGTTTGTCCTTTTGCTCGTTCTCATCATCCTTCGGTTTCAAATTTTCGGCCATATTCTGTCGAGAGATTTACAAAAACCTCGATTATTATTTATTTCATTAATATAGAAATTATAATGCAACAAATTTTTTTCTGATATATATCCTTCTTTAGAGAATATTATTATTAATAATAAATTAATAATATATATATATATATTATTTCAATCTTTAATTTATAAATATATATATTTATAAATTAAATATTGAAATGATAATATATTATAATAATATAATAATATAATTATATAATATTATAATAATATATTATTATTTCAATATATATATATTTTTTCAATATTTAATTTTAAATATATATCTACTTCGTAATAGCGCTGCAACATCCACTCGTCGTCCTGATTTTGCGTGTCCTGTCCGCCCGCGAAGGTAGCCTTCTTCTTTCTACGATCGATGCCGAAATATTGGGACCAATCGACACTCTTCTTTCTCACTTGGACGAATTTCGATTTGTCCTGTTTCGTAATATTTTCCTTTTGACCCTTCGGAGACGGCGTCACTTTCGGCGGCATTTCCGATGATGCGCTCTCGTGACCGTGTTCGTGATCGTGGTCGTGTTCGTGATTGTGTTCGTGATTGTGGTCGTGATCGTGATCGGTTTGATGAGTGCGATTATGCACGTCCGTGGATTGCGTGCCAAATAGAGCTCCCAGGTCTTGAGCAACCTTGCAATAAAAAAATACGCATTTAATGCACAGCTGTGTTGCAGTTTTACAGGGTGCATCCAAATAAGTGCGAACAATTTTTGGAGATAATTCCTTGTCGAAAATTAAGGGAGATTTCTTATATGTTTAAACATAAAAATTAAATTAAAAATAATATTAATAAATATTAATAAAATCCTTTTTATTAATGGAAAATATCCACCAAATTTCATTTTTTTAATTGTCTGAAATTTGAGAAAAAAAACTTCTTAGGGAGGGATATAAGATCTTATATATATATATATATATATATATATATATATAATGTATATCATATATGTAATTTATAAATATATATATTTATATAAATTAAATATTGAAATTATATAATATATATATATATATATTATTAATTTATTATTAATAATAATATATAATAAATATAAGAGATCTTATATCCCTCCCTAAGGAGTTTTTTTTCTCAAATTTCAGACGATTAAAAAAATAAAACTTGGTGATTTTCCATTAATAAAAAAGATTTTTATTAATATTTTAATATTATTTTTAATTTAATTTTTTTGTTTATACATATAAGAAATCTCCCTTAATTTTCGACAAGAAATCATCTAAAATTTTTTGCACTTATTTAGATACGCTTTATATACATGTATACAGAAGTGTATGTTAATATAGATAATATTTCGTTATAATGGAATGATATTAATTCGATTTGAAAATTAAAAAACTTATTATATGTCGAGGAAGCAAATGATTATACAACAGAGGATGATCTTTATCCTCAACCCTTTTGTCAATGTATAATTTTTATTTTCATCAATATATGGATGTTGGTACCCAAATCTTTTTCATATTGCACAATTTTTTATAACGCATTGAAAAGAATTATTAAATTAATAAATATTTATTTGTTTTGAGAGAGAAGGATTTTTTCATATCAAATAAATATTTTTCACGTCAAATCAATATTATTAATTTCATATAAATTATAGTATTGAAATAAATATTTATTCGAATTCTTCTTTTTCAGTGCAGTTACTAGACATCGAATATTTTTTCCTGTTAAAAATTTAGGATACTTTCGCGAAGGTTTTTTGTATTTTGTTTTGAGTGGAGAATTTTAGAGACACATTTTCAACATTTATGAAAATTACTTTAAAATTATTCTGGTACCCGTTTATTGACAAAAGGATTAAATAAATCACTGAAACAAAGTTAATTCTTATAAGTATTTATTTCAATACTGCCAAATAATTATTTATTTGAAACTAATAATATTTATTTGGTATATGAAAAAAGATTATTTGATACAGGAAAATCTTTTTCAAAACAAGTAAATATTTATTTGTTTCAAATAAATGATTCATTTGACAGTATTGAACTAAATATGTATTAATTTAGTGATTTTTTCAGTGATCCTTTTATCGTATCACCTTAGGATCCGTGGTCTTTAGCTTAGTCTGGGTGGGTCTGGGGCTTCTCTTAGCGACCGGATAACGCTTTGTCAGCCTGCGATAATTGCCGAATTCACGACCGATAGGATATCGGCCGTTGACGTTTCTACGTTCCAACGTAGGCGGCAAGTACAGGATATTCTGATCCTGATCCGCGAACTCGTCGTCGTTCTTCCTCGATGACGAGTCCTTGCTAAGCAGATCGCCCCAAGACATTGGTCCTGCCGTTCTGTCGAGCAAAATTGTTTTTTAAGCCATTAATGGTTATCAATATGTAATTTTATTTAATTTTTACTTATCGAAAATAATGTTATTAATAATATGAATTTTTATTTAATTTTGACAGTCATGAAAATTTTTCTCTTTTTTCATAAATATCCGATAAGATTATATTTGCATCACAGGAAATTTAATTGTATTCGCGAGGACAGAAATATCTGTTTTTCTAATAAAATGGAATTTAATTTTTATTTATTTAAAATAAAAATTATAATACAAATTAATAAAAATAAATATAATTGATAATGTGAATTTTGAATAATCATGCAAAAATTATTTTTAGAGGTAAGATTGTATTTGTGTCTCAGGGAATTTTTTTTCATAATAAAATTTTTGTTTTATTAGAGAAATAAGAGAAAAATATACATATTTCTCTAAACTGAAAATCTTATTGCGAAAATAAATAAATTTCTGGTAATTTACAATCAAATACCCCCAAAAATGTTTTTCACGAAATTAAATTAAAATTTATCCAAAAAATTTATATTATATCAACTACATTATTTACAGGGTTGGGTAATAACTAGTTAATTAGTTAAAAGTTAAAAAAAAGTTAAAAAGTTAATAACTTTTAATTTAGCTTAGTTAATTTAAAATGTATTAATTTTTAACTTCTCAACTAGTTATTTTTTACCTTAACTTATTAACTTTTTTCAACTTTACCGTTTTACTTAAAAACGATTAGTTGTATGAAAAAAAGTATAATAACCTTTTTTGTAGAGAGTTTTATGAGCTACAATTTTGATAATAACTATTTTTCTCGAAAAATTGATAGTTTTCGAGATAATGGCAAAAAACTAAAATTTACTCCCCATTAAAAAAACCTCCTGGATAAAATTAAGGGTATTTTTCAGGATGTCACTAGAATATCGAAATGAAGGTCTCCACATAAATTCAGCTTGCTCCTAATGTTGATCAAGTTTTGCTCTTTTCAAGTCTAATTTTACTGGACTATAATAGATCTTGAGGAAAAAAGTGAAAACAATTGGAGGAAATCCAACTCACTCGTATACTTTGTTCCCTCTACCAGCTCTGTATCTGTCATACAGCGATTGTAATGCGGTTAAATAGTCGTCGTCGTCCATCTCGTCGAGCGAACCGTACGGAGCACCGTCGTGCAGCTCCTCCAGGAACAGCCTCGCCAGTTCCTTGTCGTCCAGGTTCAATCGGTCGCCGGCGCCGCCTCGTTTTCGGCTGCCGCTTCGCTCGCGTTCGCGAAAGATGGAGGCCACCGGTTCCTCCTGCAAACGTGTTAATTATCTTGAAAAATGAGAAATTGTCTGGAGAAAAATTCCTCAAATTGCGGAATAACAAAAATTTATTAGACAGGTATCTGACGAAATATATCAAAGAATTCACCTGTTCGGGTAGAGTCTCCAAATAATCGAGCAGCGCTCTCTCGAATAATTTGTTGTTCAGGCCCTGAAGACCCTCCCCTACTGTCTCTAATTGGCCATTATCTGAAATCGCGATAAAATTAATTAATTAATTATATATAAATTCAATGTTATGTAAAATTCATTTAAAAAAATGTTCATTAAAAATTCATTAAAAATCTGCATATAGTATTGGAAGAATTTTATATGATTAATATTTAGCGCAATAAAATTAAAAAAAAAATAATTCTCTGTGCACTGTCAATATATTACAATCTGAAATCGTGATGGAATTAATTAATAAAGTATATAAATTCAATATTATGTAAAATTTATAAAAAAATGTCTACATATGATATTGGGAGAATTTAATAAGAGTTTCTCTGATTAATATTTAGCGCAACAAAAAATATTAATATGTACATGCATAGTAAAATTAATCAAACATATTTTATATTTTATTATGGTAAATATTTAATTAGAGAAACTCTTATAAAATTTTTCCAATACCATATATTATCCAGATTATCACGATTTTCAGGATGTAGACTCTTAAAAAAATTTTCAAACTAACTCAAAGATATATAATAATAAATTATAAATAATAATAAATATATAATATATAATAATATATAATAATAAATAATGTATAATATATAATATAATATATAATAATAAATATTAATATAATATTCTTACCCGGCAGAAACTCGATCTCCTCGTCGTCCTCGTCGAAGTCGCGATCGAACTTGCGGTCGGCGCCGCCGTGATACTTGAACGAGTGGAGATCGTTGTAATATTCCGGCGAGTCCGCCGCGTCCAGGGATCTCTGCTTCCGCGCGACCGCGTCCAGGGCGCTCCTTAAGGACTCCCGATTCAGCTGCCGAGCCGCGGGAACCAGAGCGTACGCGCCGGCTCCCAGGATCAGCAGCGGCAGCATCCACCTTCGCGATGCCATATTTAATGCTTGAACTGTTCGGGGAAACATCATTTTGTGCAATATATCCAGGAAAAAATTTTTATATATAATTATATATAAATAATTGTATAATTATGCATATAATCGTAAAATTATATGTGAAATATAAGTCTATTTTTATATATAATTATATAACTTTATATTTTATATATATAATTATAAGGGTTTATATATAATCATGTCAAATTATATATGAAACATATTTATACAATTATATATAAAAAGCACTTTTATCTAATTATGTATGGACATATTTTATATATAATTTTGCGATTATATGTATAATTTTATATATTTCTATATAATTTTATATTATTATATATGTATAAAACCTAATTGGTTTTTTAATTATAAATTTATTTTTCCAAAATTTCTCTTTCAAATATATATGTACATATATTTTTTTCTATTGCATTTTTTATCTACATTTTTGTATTTTTGTGCAAAAGTTTTATATTAATTTATATTAAATTATTTAAATTTATATTAATTTATATAAATTATTTTTTGAATTTATACACGGAGAGAATTTTCCGAGGAATTTACCCTGAAAATCATGATAATCGTGGGACAATACAGTATTAGAAGAATTTTATGAGTTTCTCTGATGAAATATTTATCTCAATAAAAAATATCAAAATATGTACATAATAAATTTTATATCTTATTATTGTGGTAGATATTAATATTTTATTGTGGTAGATATTTAATCAGAGAAGCTCTTATTAAATTCTTCCAATATTATTGTCCTACGATTACCATAATTTTCAGGATGAATTCTAAGGAAAAATTCTCTCTGGGTACGAATTTATTTTTTTTTTTTTTTCAAATTTTCTCTTGTAAAAAAATACACATGTCTTTCTTACATTTCTATCTGCATTTTTATGCAAAAGTTATATTAATTTATAAGTCATATATTAATTTATATCAAATTATATAAATATTTTTAATTTTTATATACATAAAGAAGAGTTTCGATACTGTTAATTAAACAATATATATTTTATATTTATTTTTTATTAATTTAAAAAAGTAGAAACTATATAAACTTGATTAATCTCTCTGAGATAAACCTTACTCTTTTATATATATTTATAATTTCTTCATTTTTAAAATAGATTTCTCGACTGACTTTTATTCGATTCTTCTCAATCGTAAAATTAAAATCTACGTCATAATAAATATATATAGATATATTGACTGTGTCTATTTTGCATACTGTGTACCAAGCTGATATCGATTTTGTTAACAGGGTAGCGAAGTCCTTCGCGCGAATGAAGACGTATCGAGAGGGATGTAACGAAACTGCGTGAGCCAAAACAAGATTGTAATCGTCACTCGTGGAAAAATTCTTCATACACTGTATGTACAGATTTGAATTATTTGTAAATTATAATACTTGAGACCTCAAATAAGGGAAAACAAGAAAATATACACTACAAAGAAAGTACGAAGAAAAGAAACTATTGGAAAAAAATTCTTTCGAACATATGGGATAATTTTAAGCGATTAAACAAATTGAATTATTTAATTTATAATGAAGTAAACATGAAAGGGCGACATACATTATGATAAATTAAGTAATTAAACTCTGTATCGAAGCAATTAAATGCATAAGCTGTGTTGTCGCGCAATACAAATATATGTCTTTCGGGATCGATAAACGTACATAAAATTCTTACTGAACTGATATTCAGCAGCTGTGTATAAATTGCAATATACGTAGATATTTCGCACAGATTGATTTGCAAATATTTGAGCCGACATTTAACCTTTCGCTTTGGAGAGCGCTTGAAATGTCATTAATAAAATTGCCATTGTGCGCTTCAGTAAAGATATAGATTAACTTATTTTAATCTGCGATTATAATTATTTATAATAATTGAAATGCAGTTATATATAATTGTATAATTTATCAATTGTTTAAGTTATATAATTAATATAAAATAATTTATATATTAATTATGTTGTATTTATAATATCAAAAGTAAGAATCGTCACGAAACATTTCATTTATATTTTGATATCGTACACTGAAAAAAAATAAAATTAATAAATATTTATTTCAATACTGCCTAATTATGCCGATTAATTATTTGAAGCAAATAAATATTTATCTGGTTTGAAAAGAATTTTTTTATATCAAAAAATATTTTTCACATTAAAACAATATTATTAGTTTGAAATAAATAATTTATTAGACAGTATTGAGAAATAATCAATATTTATTCGAATTAAGTACACTTTTTTCAGTATAATAAAGATACGAGCATAAGATTTTTGACATTCTCATTTACATAAAACTTGATTGATTGTATAATAACTTATAGTCGTCGTACACTAAAAAAATGACTAAATTAATACATATTTAATTCAATAATGCCAAATGAATTATTCATTTGTTTTGAAAAGAATTTTATATCAAATAAATATTATTATAAATATTATAAATAAATATTTTCCATATCAAATAAATATTAAAAATAAATCGTTTCCAGTAGTCATCGCGATTAATAAGACATGATCCGAATAATTAATAATTAGTAAAATATTGTGTTTAAATGAAAAAGAACAAAAAGGTCAGATATTTGCGGCGCGGATCGAATCGTGAATTGCTGACCCGACGTTTTAATTCGCTTGTGTCAAGTAATTTCGGCGAATATTTAATGTCAGCGATATATCGAAATAGCACGAAAATAACGAAGCGCGCGAATAATAAGTTTCGCAATTTTTCACCTCGACAGCGAAAAACCGGGATCGAGAAAATCCGGAGTCGCACGATGGAGAACTTCTTTTTCCCGCACAATTATATATATATATTATATAATTAATTAATTCCAATCGGTCAATTAATTTCATCGGCGATTCGATTGCGCGGACACGCACAGGAATGTCGAAGAGGGTGGAGGAAAAAGGAAGAAGATGGAATTACGACCTCGGAAAATTGCGCGCACTGTGTGAGGTCGGCGAAATTAATTAATTGGAAATTAATTGACGGTCCTATTCGCGTGGGACGTACCTGGTCGATTTTAATGTCTCATCCGTCCTTCGACAAAACCCCGGTGACTTGTCAGTTTTCTTTCCTCTCTCTCTCTCTCTCTCGTTTTACTCCTTTTATTTTTGTTCAGCTACGTCGCAACGTCTTCGACGACGATGTTTCCCGGATGCGCATGGAACCCCGTCCTCGCTCTCTGCCGACCAGGACGACCGCCAATGGCGACGGCTTTTATATAGGGCGACAGGGCGCGGGATCGATAGAAGCGCGCATGGAACTTTGACAGCTCGCCGGCAGCAACAAGTAAAAGGGGGTTGGCGGAGGGGGTGGAAGTTAAGGGGTGTGTCGCGTGCGAGGGGAGCAAACACGCCGACCGGAAAATTCTCTCTTCGACGATTTTTCCGCGCGAATCCATTTTTTTGGCGATCTTACTTGATATATCATTTTACGGCGTCCTATATTTATCAAAAAATTTCTTCGCTCAGTATATTTATCTATTATATATTATATATTATATATATATATATAGATTATATATTATATATGAGATAGGATATATATGATATATAGGATATATTATACTAGATTATATATTATATATATTATATATTATACTATAGATTATATATAGATATTAGATTATACTATAGGAGGATATTATATATTTATATATATTATATATATTATATATTATATATATCTATATATATTATATATATTATATATATATATATTTATATATATATATATATATTATATATATTATACTATATATTATATATATTAATGTTATATATTATATATATAATTATAATACGCATGGAAAAAAAGTATCGAGTATCTCGTATTTTTTATTTCTCTCGGTGTAAGTGTATCGGTTTTTGCTTTTTGCAATTTCGGATAAAGTTATTTCGCACGTGGGCATTTTTGTAAAAATTTAATTGAATTCGCAGCTAGCGATCGTCAGGAAATTTTTAGGCGAAATATTTTACGTTGAATCCCCGTCTCGAAAAAATAATGGGAGGAAATTAATTCGCAATTGGACGTAAAAGGATCAGTTTAAATGTAAATGCTGTTGTGTAAATGAATATACTGAGCGAAGAATTTTTTTAATATAGAACGCCGCAAATATCTGCTCGCTCTTTTCAATAGCTGAATAAAAGAAAGAAATCATTAAAAAACTTACACTGATATAATTTAATAATGACGTTATGTTATTAAAAGCAGGCTAGTTTAAAATCGCAAATTTTACTTGCTTTATGACAAAAAGAGACTTTGTTTTTTTCTTTTTTACAGCTTTTTTTACATTATTTTTTTTGCAGATTTAAAAAATATAAAAATGTATAATATATTTGCATAGAACTCCTCTGTGTGCGATCTTATATATATTTATATATATGTATAAATATATGTGTATATATGTTTTTAATCGAAAGATAAGTATATACGCAAGGGCAAAGTCTTATCGCGTGAGTTTCGAGAATAAAAGCTCAATGATAATGGAAATATCATTTGGTTTGCTGCGAAATGAATTGGAACGAAGAAAGAGCTTAAATCTAATGAATTAATTTCTTGTACGTGCAAAAAAAGAGAAGAATTCTACTCAGAAAGCATATTTTTTAGTCGTGCAAAAAATACCTTGCAGATTATTTACATTTATAAAATACATCTATATCTTTTTATATAATTATATATATAATTATAAAAATATTTATATAATACGCATGAAAAAATTATCAATGTTTACGAATATGTAATTTAACGATTAATACGCAATTATAAGAAAATGGCATAAATATGCATATTATGTTAATACGCGTATTAAAGTCTGTATAGAGTGTTCAACATAGATAAATAGAACGTCCAGTAGATCGATAGAATCAATAAAATGATTCTAAAAAATTGGAAAATATTTTTTTAAAGTATTTCACTTTTACGATAAAATTTTTTTTTAGTTATGCAATCATGTATTTAATATCTTTTATTTGTTTCTTCTTTTCGTAAAACATAATCGTCGATTCTACAATTTATACCGAATACTATAAGAACATTTTACAATTTGTTTTTTTCAAATTACGAATTATTATAAATTATCTAGTTCCTCATAGATCTCTTTAGTGAATTGAAATATTTATGTTCTTAAATATATAAAAATGTTACGATAATTGTTCACCACAAATAATCTATCGGAAAATATATTTCGCAAAAGATTAGTAAATGACAATAAAAATTAATCAGCCATAAATTAATAAGATATTACAAACAATTGATTAGAAAATCAAATATATACAAAAACAGGGTTGGGTAAGTTAATGATTTTTTTAAACTAAGTTAAGTTAAAGTTAGTTGCTTACAAAATTAATTTAGTTAAGTTAAAAGTTTTATGAACAAAAAATTAATTTAGTTGAATTTAAGTTAAGATTAAATTAACTGAAGTTAAATCAAAAGTTAATTTTTAAAAATATTATTTATATTAAATTAGAATTTTGTTTGTTAATTCTTTTAAAATATATAATAACAAATAACAAAGAATTTTTTATTTTTATGTAGAAATATATTTTTTAGTAATTAAAATTGATGACAATAAATGAACAAAAAAATTAATAATACTTTAATTTAAAAATAATACGTTTATAATTTATAAAAAAACAATAATTCAGAGATAACAAAATTTAACTTAGGAAAAAGTTAATAAGTTTAAGGTAAAAAATAACTAGTTGAGATTAAAAATTAATACATTTTAAATTAACTAAGCTAAGTTAAAGTTATTAACTTTTTAACTTTTTTAAAACTTTTAACTAATTAAGTTACAAATTAAGTTACAAATTAAGTTACAAATTAAGTTACTAATTAAGTTACAAATTAAGTTACTAATTAAGTTACAAATTAAGTTACTAATTAAGTTAATTAAGTTAGTTATTACCCAATCCTGTATAAAAGTAACGCGAAGACATATGTATAAAAAAAAGAAATTGAAGAAAAGAGGAACAATCTGCATTTTTTTGCACACTCGTCACTGGCGATTTTGGCTCTCGATTCGAAAGATTAGCACTTTTGTGTTATGGACAAACGTACTATTATCGATATCTACCTGCGATATCGCTTATCCGCGTCAAAGATAAATGCTGGATTTATCAGGAACGATAACAAGGTAGACTAAAGAATTAAATCGCGAATGATCCAGCAGTGCTCGCTCGACGTTTCGCCCGAAAATTCGGAGGAAAGCGAACGAACCTCGGAATAAGGGTGACAGATCGATCAGCTGATTTCTCGCGCAGCCTTATCTATGGATTTGGACCAATTTTCTTTTTCACGCAATCAGGTCTGTTCTTTCCCAGCTGAACTGACCTCTTCTACTGCATAATAAAAGGGAAAGAATGAAACTCTGAACTGTTGCAGCCGGTTCAGAGAAGAGAGGAGACCCTCATGCGATACACGGAAGCGGAGCCGAGGATGGAGCAAAGAAGTTTTGTGCAACAGCTGAACGAGGCGTCCACGAGTGGCGAACAATCATCGGCAACCGGTATCAGACAATGAGCGATATCGCGTTCTTATCACAATCAGGCGCGACGTTATTCTTGTAGAAAACGTTATATCGCGCGCTTCTCTTTTTTTCCCGGATCCCTTCAGGAACGTCGTCCACAGGAACGCAGACGATAGAGATGCAGGAAAACGCGCCGATCATTTACGCCAACAGCAACATCATCACGATGCAACCGACAGGTGTGTGTGTATGTGTGTGTATGTGTGTGAATATACATGCTTTGTGACAGCTTACATTGAAAAAAAATTATTGGATTAATAAATATTTTATATTTCAGTACCTTATTTAGATCATCAGTGTTTGCTGTTATCTAAATAAACTCGTGAAAAAATTTTTATATATAACTAATATAAAATTATATAGAAATATATAAAATTATACATATAATCGCAAAATTATATATGAAATATGTTCACACATAATTAGATAAAAGTGCTTTTTATATATAATTATATGAATTTATATATATATAATAAATAAGTATATTTTTTCATATATATTAATATATATATGTGTGTTTTATATATAATTTGACATGATTATATATATGAATCCTTATATACTTTATAATATAATAAAATATAATTTATAAAATATAATATAAAATAAAATATAATATAATTGATATAAAATATAATTATGTATAAAAATGGACATATTTCACATATAATTATATATAAAAAATTTTTCCCGGGAAATTATATAGATGATTATCTAGATGAAACTTTGGCATCATCTTATTTTTATATAGATAATAAAAATGTGTTATCTATATCTGCATCTTACAAAAAAAAAAAATATTCTTACTAAATTATCCAGAATAATTTTCAGATAATTTTGGTTTAGAATCATAACACATAAAAATACTTAAATAGTAAACTTAAGTAATAAGCAATAAAAATTTATAAATAAAAATATGAATACATATATTTTTATATCCCTTTTATAACTGCGTTTACATAAGCAGTTTTAAAAATTATTATCTAGAAAATTATCTAGATGAATTGCCGTATAATTTTATCTTTTATTTAGATATATTAGATATATTTAAAATAAAATCATCTTTATCTTATCTAAGAATTTACATATTTTGATCTCATCTTTATCTAGTTAATTTTAAAATCATCTAAGCACAGCACTGTGCCTTATTTAGATCATTTATTTGAAACAAATAAATATTTATCTGTTTTGAAAATTTTTCTTGTATCAAATAAATGCTTTTTCACGTCAAATGAATATCATTAGTTTGAAATAAATTATTTATGAGGCAGTATTGAAATAAATATTTAAGTATTTAATTAATTTTTTTACAGTGTATTAACAGCTAGAATATTCAATCAGATATTTATTCTTTTCCTCCTATAAAAATAAATATATATATTAAAAGAATTACTGCATTACTGGGTTCATATAGAATTTCTAGTAAAAAAGAGATCAAACGGAGAAAAGAGTGTACTTATTATTTTATTTTAGTTTGTCCTATTTTATGTTTTATTAGATTCTCCTACACAGAGATAATTTTCTCTTAGAATTTATCCTAAAAATTATGACAATTGTAGGACAATATATGGTATTGAAAGAATTTTATGAGTTTTCCCTGATTAATATTTACCACAATAAAAAAATTGTATAGTAAAATATATTACTAAAATGTGTAAAATTAAAAATTAATCAAACATATTTTATATCTTATTGTGGTAGATATTAATATTTTTTATTGTAATTATTATGATTTTCAGGACAAATTCTAAAAGAAAATTCTCTCTGTGTAGAAATCTTATTATTAGTTTAAAAATTTTACTTATGGAATATATATATAGAAATATTTAATAACTTAAAATAAAACAAATTGAAATAAAATAATTACATATATCTTCGCTGTGATAATAAGATAACAAACTTATTAATGACTAGCATTCGATAAAATATTTCTTTGTCCTTTTTTCTATAGATAGATATTTAAAAGAAACTATAAAGAATTATCATTACAGAAGTTAGGAAAAAAGAGATCGAATGGGGAAAAAATGCATTAATTATTGTATTAGTATATATTAATTATTAATTTATTTACTTCAATTTGTCTTATTTTACATATTATTAGATTTTCTTATATGTATTTGAACGTAAAAAGTATATTATTTTATTTTAGTTTGTCTTATTATTAGTTTATTATTTTTTTATTACATAAACAATTTTTTCTACATATAATTCAACTAAGAATATTATGTATGTTGGAATACATATGAAAAATTAATAATATAAATTAAGACAAACATAAAAATTCTTAATTAAAATGAAGTTTATAATATTGTTATCGCAAAATAGATAAAGAAGAAACATTTTATCAGCGTCAATTATGCTGAGGTAATCGACAATTTTTTTGATTTTATTGTATCTTATTTTTTTACGAAAGTGCATCGCACAAGAACTGCAATTGATATAAAAACGTGGGAAGAATAATAGTTTATTAATATATATTTAATTATTTAACTATTATAATAATATGTTTAACTATTATAATAGTATATTTTACTATTCAAATAATACATTTAATAATATATACTATTATAATAATATATTTAACTATTATCATAATAGTTTAATTTCTCCCACATCGGCCTTCAATGCGGGTTAATGAGAGTCTGCGTTACATAACACGACGGAATCGATCTCTCGATTAATTCGAGTGCCCGCGTAACTTAATAAAATTCCGAGAGGTCTTTCATGTTTCGTCACATAATCACGCTTCTTGCAGAAGGCGAGCTCCGATTTCCGCGAAGACCTATTCCCGTCAGCACCCTGGACTGGATCTCGACGCCCAGGGCGCAATTGAGCGCGACTTCCGGCACGCAGTTCCTGGCCGGAGTCGAACAGTTGGAAATTCAGCAGGTTATTGATTTGAGTACTCGTACGTACAATATATTTCAAGCATCTCACGCGCGTCTATCACAAGAAAGAGAACGAAACAGAAAAATATAGAAAATAATTAGAATATATAAAATAATATAATATAATATATAAAATATAATATATAAAATAATTTTATATATATATATATATATATAAAATTTATTTTTATTTGCTGCAGGAGTTGGTATTTTTAATTTTTAAGCATTTATATATCTTTCTCTCTTTCTCTTTCTCCTATTATAATATTAATTATATATTACATGTATACATATAATTAATATTATAATATTAAATTTTATTTACAGATTATTTAAGAGGTATATAATTTACATTTATTATTGTTACATAAATTGTAGTAGAAATTTTATTTTTTATAGTAGATTGATTTATATAATATTTAAAATTATATACAATATATATAGAGTAATTATATACGCACATAAAAAAAAGAAAAATTTATATATAAGTAAAAATAAAATAAAAAAATAAATGCAATATACGATTTACGCGAAATACTCGGTAGTACTCGGCAGAACGGAAAGAGGAACTCAGTACAGGGTGAAAGTGCCGCGGGCGGAAACGCTGTTCCTGGCGATGGAGTCCAAGATGGAAACGCAGTCACGAATGTTCGGCTGGTACAAGGGTTTTGTGCTAAATGTCCTGGATCAATGCGGCGAGACCGCCTTCGTCATGCGAAAGGATCCCAGTTGGATGCACGTGCCTGGATCGCGACAGGCAAGTTAACATACCGCATATTATTTGCGCTCACGTCTTTGAATCGGTGTTTGTTAACTGTCGAGGTTCGCTATGCCTCGGAAATCTTGTAAATATATATATATATATATATATATATATATATATACATATAAATTATAAATATAATTTTTTATATAATAAAAATTATATATATATTTAAATATATATATTTATAATTTATATATATATTTTTATATATTTTTTATATATATTTTTTATAATTATTATATAAAAAATTATATATATTATATATATATAGCTATTACATAAAAGTTATATTAAAAATATATAAATCTAATTATATACATATATATACATTATGATTAAAATTACATTGAATAACAGAGATATCAATTTAGACTGAAAGGAACAAAAAGATAGCAGGATTGCACTTCGATAGTCGAGTATATAAACAGAACGATAAAAGATAAAAGACCTTGACAGATAGATGTGTGACGAGTGAGTTATTTTGATCTTTGTGTTTGATAATCTCATGCATTTTTGCAGAAAATCACAGTGGAGAGCGCGAATCTCATCGGTAGCGTGGAGGAGAATTTCAGTTTGGTGGGACCAAACTTTACGGTGTATGATGCGTACAAGGAACCGCTCTGTAATATATACGGACCCAATATCTGCGGCTGCTGTATGTACAAAGAAGCGCAATTCCAGGTGAATAAATCATCCACGTATAAAATATGCGAAGACGCCACGAGTCTACGATTTCTAAAAAATTACAATTATCTATTAAGCTTGGTGGGGATTGGAATCGTGCAAGTTTGTTTCAATATGTTTTTGCTTATCACGCATAATTTTAATATTATTCATACAGAAATATGTTAATTTCTGCATACATAAGAAGACAAAGATATATACATAAATTTAAATATATTTATTGTATTTAAATATCATATTACTATTTTCTATACAATATTAATTATATTTATCTATTCAGTTTTTATATTAATTTTCATTTTTTTAATGTTATATTATTAATAAGTAGATGTAAGAATAAAAAAATATTAAGACATCATATTTTTATAATAAATTAATATAATATTTTTAAAATGAAAATTAACAAAAACTTCTAATAGATGAATATAATTAATATTCTATCAAAAATAGTAATATAATATTTTAATATAATATTTAATATAATATTTTAATATTTTTCCCGTTTTAGATCATATCTGTAGATGGATCGCGCCAAGTCGCATCGCTGATACATGAATGGGATCACTTATCGGTCGATTATATTCTATTGCTCACATTTCCAGTAGAGACCGATGTGAAATTGAAAAGCCTACTTCTCGGCGCATCATTCTTGATAGTTAGTGATCGATTTTCTATTACATCGCGATAATCGCTTTCTGATATATATATAATAATAATTATTATTATATAAGCAATCATTTAAATATAAAAATATAGTAATTGTATTTATTATTGAGGCCGCCTCATATTTTATAAAATTTCTTCGTCTTGTTTCAGGAATACTTATATTTTCAACGAATAAGAAAAGCGTCCAGGAGATAGATATGGTTATAAACAATTTATATACAATTTAAAAATCATCATTTTTCTCTATGCAAGCGCAAGTGCATACACAGGTATTTTTTGAGGAAATAATTTATATTTTTCCTTTTATCAGAAATTTCCTTATATAAATACGTTATATAAGCGCGACACGCGCGATTGGATCATTTATTAATTATTCAATATTCTATTTAGTATTGCATCATATATGTATATAATAAATACTTATCGCGAGACTATTATCTGTTATACGAATGCAATGTTTGCAAACAAAGAAATTCCCATTTTTCAAGTAAAATTTCAAATGACTAAGTATTCTTTTTTTAAAACGTTCGAACATATTAATATAAAACTTGAGCATATCCTTTAGCTTTAGATATATTTAGATTTTTATTTGTATTTTATATTCAATACATATTTGTATTATATTCATGTTTCTGTATAAGAATTATGTAGATTAGAAAGAAGAAAGAGTTAAATAGAGATTAAAATATACATATCTATATTTGAAATTGTATATATATATATATATATATATATATATTATATATAATAATGTCTCGTTGATATAATATATATATATATATATATATATATATATATATGTACATATATATATAAATCAGAATTAATAAAAATTAATTTTTAAAAATTATATATATATTTTTTTCAGCATTTAAAGTAATATTAAAATATTAACAATATTAAAGAAAAACAAGTGCTGACAATTGACAATATAAAGTCCTTCGAACACACTTTATCAATAGCTGTCTACTCAAATGCATAAAGTGCAAGATAAGCACTTTTCCCTATGCTAATATGTGCGCTGCAACAATTTTCATTGTTACAAAATCACTCGTACGATATGTATAAACAATACGGTTCAATGAAGAAAAGATATGCTTTCAATCAACGAGACATATTATTATTAATCAAAAATATTAATCTATAACGTGGGAATAAATTGGAAAATTAGAATTATTAATGTATAGAACTTCAAATATCCATTTTTTACACAAATCTTTCTTGAAAAATAATTACCAATAAGTACTAATTTATTCAAAAGTATATCTTGGATTATTATCTCGTGTCAAACCTGTTGGCTCCCAGATGCAACAAGAAATTGTTAAAATAAAATAGAGGTAGGAAGGAATTAATGTCTTTTGGAGAGAAAATTAATGCGAATCGATCGATCAAAATTTTGAATTGCGACCCATACCACAAAAAATATTGTTTTCAAAAAATATTTCTAAATATTTCTATAAAATATTGCATAAAAACATTTTAAAATGCTTTTAGGAATATTTTAAAATGATTTAAAAATTTTTGTGATAACATTTTTTAGAATATTTAAAAAATGTTCTTCTTTATCGCTCAGATAATATTTTTTAAATATTTGATACGTATTTTTGAAATATTAGTTTAAATCTATATTCAAAAATATTTTTAAACATGAAAAAGCGGACATAGAAACATTTTAAAAATATTTTCGAGAATTATTTTATCTTTTAAGAAATATTTTTCAAAGATTTTAAAAATATTTGGTGCTGTATAGGGAATCAGTAAATTATTATTATTATTGATAAAAGATGCTATATTTTTCTCGCGCATTTATATTAAAAATTAATACATAAAAAAGAAATAAATAATATAATTATATATTCTAATAAATTTTTATGTTATGTAGGCATTCAATAAACCAAAATTTGTGCATTCCTTCAATATTAATAGATGAGAACTATAAAAATCGCTGGAAAATTTGGTATAAAAAATTTTGAATGAATTTATGTCATTAAAACGTCCGACTAGTGAAGTGTTGGACTGACAATGAATGTTTTGTTCACACGTGTTACGAAAGTATCCGAATCATACCGAAATTTCTCGGTGGCAGCTGCCACTCTTCAGTTTGTACATCGTATATAAAGCTGCGTCTACAACTCGGCTTAAGTCAGTTTCCAACGTTCGCAAACGTGCTTATTTTATGCCATATTATTATCGTCGACGCCTTCGTGGAGTCGTCATCCAAGCGATCCAAGTCGTTGTCCGAGTCTCCATTCATCTACGGCGAATCCTTTGTTTCCTCTATTCATATAAAGCGAACCGGTCTTTCGCGAATTTAGAATATATAGTGACTGATTGTGAGAAAATATCAGGGAAGAGAACATATATATACTCAGGTAAATCGAAAGAAAATACGTAAATATACAGAGTTGTGTCGCATGCAGGACAATTAAAATTTTTATGCATTTTTGGGAGATCTTTTATATGATAATCGATCGATATTTGACACGTGACTTTGGATATAATGAGTAAGTTCTGCATCACACTAGTATAGAAATAATAATAATAATTTTCGTATGTCAAATATATGACAATATATATATTTAATAATTAACACATAATTGATCGTAAAGAATAATTTCCCAAGTAGAACAGAAAAGTCAACATAATGTCAATTTGACGTCATCTTGAGCAAATTTGAACTCCAAATTTGATCAACATTATTCAAAATGATATTATTTTGATTTTCTGTTCTACTTGGATTAAATAATTGTAGCCACGATTTTATTTGATTTAATTTATTTTTTTTATTTTTACTTAAATAAAAAATACTGTGAAAAATTTGCAATTAAATACACACCCGAATATTAGTATTGGATAATTTTTTAAAAATCTACTTTGAAAACATTATATTCAGTGAAAATAGTAGAAAAAATTTTTGCTTGATATTTAATATTGCAATAAATTACGTAATTATAATTGATAATCGATAATCTCGAAATCTGATTGTGGATAGGATAAATTGTTTTTTCAAAGTTATTTATAAATAAATAATTTGATTTGGATGAAACAAGCAAGAAAAATAGAATAGAAATTATAGAAGCATACATTTTTTGGCAAACACAAATAATGCAAAATCATTATAAATTATTGAAGATAATTGTGTGACATTAGAACATTATTTATACAACGCAAAATTAATTTTAATCTTACAATTAGAAGTTAAAAAGATATTCAATTTAATTTTCTATACATTTTAAATATGCCACAACGACAATATGTGTGCTCATTTCGCGGTTGTCATAATAATAAAAAGAAAACAAAACTGCGAATACATAATTATAACTTAAACATAGAAATTTTATCATAAAATTATTTTTCTTTTTTCATCAAATTTAATACTATATTTTTACACTATAAGAATTTTGAGATTATAATTAATCTTTATATTACATTTTTAATAATTTAAAAATAATTAAAAATAATTGAAAATAATTAAATATAATTAAAAATAAATTAAAAATATAGTTAATAATATAATGGAATATATTTTTACATTAATAAATAATCAAATTTCAATTAGACGTTAATTAAAATGAGATTTTTATACGCATATATAAATATAGATATATAAAAGAGATTAGATGTAAATCACTTATTTCAAGAATATTTACTGCATACATACATTTTTTTCCTTAAATAAGATTGATATCTATTGACATATTTTTTTCCTTAAATAAGATTGACATCTTATTCAAGGGAAAAAATGTATGTATGCAGTAAATAATCTTGAAATTAGTGATTAACATCTATTTATAGATGCGCGTATATTCTAACAAGCATCGTTTTAAGATTTCAATCCTAATATCTATGGTACATTATGTTACACGCACAGAATTAATTGAGCTATTAATTACAATTACATAACAGAAAGTTGCATTCTTCGCTGATATAACAAGAGTTCAATATGAAGTGTTACATAATTTCAAAGAACGATATATAATTATAATAATTTAATTAAATTTCTGTGAAAAAATTAAAGAAAAAAAATACAATATATATATTCCATATTTTCACTTTTTGAAGGAATTGTAAACTTAAATTTTAAACAATGGACGCTCGAGCTGCATTCGGGTACACTGTAAAAAATTGATTGAATTCGAATAAATATTTATTTTAAATTAATAATATATTGATTTTATGTGAAAAAGTATTTATTTATTTCAAATAAATGATTTATAAGACAATATTAAAATTATGCAATTATAAAATAAGATTTTAATATAAAAATAAAATTTATAATTTTAATAATTTTTTTTCAGTATATAAATATTAAAATTCTTGTCGAAAAAATTAGGAGATGTACTTATTATGATTTGTTAAGCTATGTGTCACCTTTTTCATTGTCGTGAATTTTTTCGACAGCAAAAATAAGCGACATATAGAATCATAACGCAAAAAATATGATAATTATCAACACATTAATATTATTAATATATTTCATTTTACTATATAGGTATTTGGGAAGCATTTGGGGAAGTTTGATATCATCGCAGAGGATACAAAAAGGAGAAAGAATCGGGTATATCCCTACTACTTCCTCAAAATCAACAAATATAAGAAGTATATAAGAAGTGATATGTTTCCGAACCTTGCCAGATTGTCGAAATAAAAATAACAGACAGTTGGAACTTCGAAAAGCATCAACAGGCATCATTAACGAAAATTTACTTAAAAGGTAAGTAGTAATTCTAAGAAAGTGTAATTTACAAATTTCTACAATTGAGAATTTATTAGCAAATAAAAGTTCGACCGTTTGAATATTACAAAACAAAATCTACTGTTATTATATACAAAACAATTCTAATTTCCATACATTTCCATATATTTCCAATTTATCGTGCAATTTGTTCCATATTGTTCGGTTGTTCAACAATCGTTTTTCTTACTACATATATTTTTGATTATAAATCTCGTTTATCGATTTTTATTTTTTATTCACTGAATATGTTATTTACACGAACTTTTATTTGCTTAACATTTTTAATAAATAATGAGAGCGATAGAATTTTTAAAATATATAATATATACACGGTGTCCTATTTTAATATTCCACTCCAAATAAGTTTTTTATTTTTGATTGTAGAAAAAAATGTTTCATCATATAGAAAAAACTAAATTTGTCTATAAAAAAAAATGAAATATAATCCAAGGAGAACAGAAAAGTCAAAATGATGTCAATTTGACGTCATATTGACTAAATTTATGTCATTTTTTGGTCAATATTTAATCAATATAACGTCAAATTGACATCATTTTGACACCTTCTGTTCTCGTTGGGAAGATAATAAAATTTTTTCATAATAATAAACAATTTTCTTTTGAAGAATATATAAATTCCAGGACTAATCAATATCATCTAAAAAGAAAGCATATATTTCTAAATTAAAAATTTATATCATTTATACATGTATAAATAACTAAATAAAATAAGAATTATTTATTTGCAGATAATTTTTTGAATCACAATAATATGGCTCTACTCGCAATTTTTGGTCTTCTAATTCTTCTGTATTATCTCGCCTATCTCATTCTTCCCTCCATTCTGGATTGTGATCTAATGCTGGCTTATAAGGAAATATTCGGCAAGCCTGTTTGTAAGTACATACATCTATTTTTACACGATCTAAAAAGTGGCGAGAAATTTGCTATTTTTCTTCGAGCTAAATATGATAAAATAAACAAATAAAATAAAAACTCATTTATATGCAATTTATGATTAATAACAGAGTGCGAAGAGTTTTCGTAAATATTAAATAATACATTTTATATTTTAATTTATTACATATGCATATATATATATATATATATATATGCATATGTAATAAATTAAAATATAAAATGTATTATTTAATGTTTACGTTCTATTATCTATATATAATATATCTATATAAATTTAATATTAAAAATATACAAAAAATTGTTTTTAAATACATTTCTAGTATTAAAATTAATATTAATATTAAAAGATGTATTAAAAATTTTTATATAAAAATAAAATGCTATCCCGCAAAATCTGTTGTACAATTTATACAAATCCAAAGTAGAAGTTTAAATGTATAAACGAATATCTGTATCGATTTATACTTTCATGCTTATTTTCAGCGTCATTAAAGGGCAAAGTCGTGTGGATAACAGGAGCGTCCAGCGGAATTGGAGAACACTTGGCTTATGTGCTGGCCAAAGCAGGTTGTAAATTAATCTTGTCTGCCCGGAGGGTCGCCGAATTACAACAAGTGAAGAAGAGATGTTTGGAAGGTAGACTGACTCATCCGATAATAAATTGGTGATTTTTTTTCAATTATAATGATACACCGTGATTATTTTGTTCACAACCGTTCCATTTCTCTTCAGGAAACAAATCCTTGAGCGACGATGATGTGGAAGTGTATCCTTTGGATCTGCTTGATGAGGACTCGCACAAGAAAGCCTTCCTGCACGTAATCGACAAATTTGGCAAAGTACTTTCGCTTGTTTATGATCTATTAATTTTTTTATTATTCATTAATATATTATTTATTATTTATATAATTTTATCATTGATCCTTTAATTTAAAAAAGGAGTCTTATTACGATCCTCATACGCATATATGTATCTTTCAGTTGGATATACTCGTTAATAATGCCGGTCGCAGTCAAAGGGCACAATGGGAGGAGATCGAGATGACGGTCGACAGGGAAATGTTCGATCTGAATGTGTTTTCCTGCATATCCTTGAGTAGATTAGCGGTCAAGCACTTTTTGCAGACAGGTACAGGTCAAATCGTAATTAATTCGAGCGTCGCGGGATTTTTACCAGCAATCAAATCAGCAACCTATTGTGGTGCCAAGCACGCGTTGCACGTAAATATAAATCTTTTTTAACTATATATATATATATATATATGTCCCAGGGTGTCCCAGAACTGACGAAAGTTTTTAATGACAGATTCCTGGTATCATTCGGAGACGATTTTTCCTCAGCGAAAATGTCGAGACACCAATAAGTTTCGAATTATATAAGCAGTTGAAAATAAAGGCTTTTTGGGAAACTAAGCCTTGTGGAAATAAAATATTGACAGAACCACATTCTTCAGTTAATTTTAGATAGAGCTTTAATAGAATTTTAATATAAGGCTCAGTTATAAAGATATATAACAAAAATTGGGAACATGCTAAAAATGATGGCCTCTCTCAACAATTTCACTAAAAAAAATCGTCTCCAAATGATACTATTTATCTATAAAGAAAAAAAAATGAAATATAAGATAATTATTTGCCAATAAAAATGTTTCCGCCAGTTCTGAGACATATATATATATATATATATATATATATATATATATATATCATAATTTTATTTAACTGAATACAATAATTCATTTCACTTCAAATATGTGAAATTAAATTCGCAGGGTTATTTCAAATCGTTGATGATGGAACATCATGAAAGTAACATCGACGTGACGATCGTTTCCCCGGGTCCGGTGCAGACCGATTTTCTAGCAGAGAGTTTCACAGAGAAAGCTGGCGAGGTATGTAAAATACATTTTGAGATTTATAGAGTGCGTATTTTGCATGAAATTTATATTACGACGGCGCAACTGCATAAAAAATAATTACATAAAATTCACAATTTTATTTTGTGTTCTTGTGAAACTATATTTTAACGAAGCAACATTCGACTCTCACGAATTCCTGTGTTAATTAATTACAAAATTTACATACACACACACATACACATCCAACTACTATAAATAAATGCTAATAAATTTTGATTTATTTAGAAATACGGAGTAAAAACGGAAGTAGACAATAAGTCTAAAGTAAGCGTGGAACGTTGTGCAATTTTAATGGGTGTAGCAATTGCAAATAAGCTGGACGAAGTATGGATCGCTAAACCGACGGCCTTGCGATTGGTTTACATATTTTATTGTTTCCCGAATTTTGCAAAATGGTATATAGATTAATCTCTTATTTAATTCCTGCATGTCACATAATTACAATAAATTCATTCGGTCATCAAAATTTAGCTTACAATTAAATTTTATTTTTTATCTAATTTTGATGTATAAAGCATTTGAAGAGAGTCGAATACGCAAATATCTAGAATATATAATTATAAATTCTCTTCATTGCAATTAAAGCTTACTTAAAGTAAACTTACAAAATTAGAATTAGAAAAACGAAACCGAATGAATTTTTTGATCGATTTTAATATCATTGCGTTACTTATTGGTTTTGTGTTTTTACATAGGTTTATGAAGTCTCTGGGCACAAAATATCTAATGAAAGTACGAGATGCTCAGGTTTCCAAACAAAATTGACTCTTATTATCATCGACGAACGATAATAATTTGATATTATTGTACTGTTTTTTTAACCAAAGGTCCTTTAACATGTGATATCATATAAGAATATATGCTAGAATATGTATAAATAAGTGAATAAATTTTGCGATTTTATTATATGTTTATTTTTTATGATGTATTATTAACGATAATATATATTCTTATAATTAGCAAAAGAAATGCATTCCGATCTGCTGTTTTTTGTACACAATTAATTACTAGACTACGTCGACTTTTTCAACTTTGTCATTGTTTCTCTAGCTTTCTTTCCTCTGAGGATAGCTTCCTTGAATAACGAACAATAGAGCTCTATGGCGCAGGGAGAGTCGTCATTTCCGGGAACGGGGTACGTTATAAGATTCGGATTGCAATTCGTGTCGACTACGCCGACGCTGGGTATGCACATCTTCGCCGCATGTCTAACAGCCGGATGTTCAGCCAAGACGGTGTCGAGGGTATTGAGAAAGATACAAAGATCCGGCAGCCGCGTCATGGCCCTAAACTGGTTCTCCGAATTCGGAAACAGTCCTAGTCGCCAGAATCTCGTGTGCGAAAACTCCTGACACTCCTTGGCCGTTTTGTCCACTATATACGTGGTCTGGGGATTTCGCGAGATGAACAGAATTATACCGCCTCTGAAGGCGATGTGAGCGATGAAGTTCAATGCTTGCCTGAGTAATTCAGCAGTTTGATCCAAATCGATTATTAAGTGTCCTAGTCGAGATCCGAATATAAACGTCTCCATGTGCTCGTTCAATGATGTATCCTTGTGGCCATAATGTACCCTCGCATCGTACAGGTCCTTCACGGTGAACAGTTTGTGAACTTGAAAGAAGTCTGGATGTATCAGCGGATTTAACGTTTTGCCCACTGGATTTTCTGAAATATAATTCTGAAGTATAATTGACAGATTACAGAGATATTTCTTTGTAAAAATATTTATATAATATATAAAATTTTATATATATATATATATAATATATAATATATAAAATATATAATATATAATATAAAAAATTATATAATATATAATATATAAAATTATATATTATGATAATAATAATAATATATACAATATATATAATATATAAAAAATTGATAAATGCATTAAAGATACATGTACATGTTTCTGATTCTTCGAAACAATATGAGAGGAAAAACACAACACTATAATAGTGGCAATAATTCGACAAACCGGCTTCTTCCACATTTGATTGCGTCTGAGTCGATAATTGACATCGGCGAAGATAGGAATTACAAACGACAGGCCGTGAACATTTCCAATCCCTCGAAACTGCGAATAGAAAAAGTTTTGTTAAATATATACACTAAGTAATTTTTAATTAATCTCGCGTTATATTTACGAAAAATATAATACGTTTGGAAAATATTCTCCTCGCAAACAAAGACATTCTGTTGAAAGTAGGCGAGTTTGTATCTCAATTTTATTTAATTTCCGAGAGGAAAGAATTGTAAACAACAAGAAACAGATTCGTTAGGTTATGTCACGGAGTTATAGAGGTTAGGTGGTTGATTTGAAGCGAGGATGATATAAAATATGTAGAGAGGAATATTCCAAGTTTAACCGAATCGTGAAATAGCAAATAGCTTATAATTGCGTAAGAGGCGCTGTCATCGATTTTTGGCGGGCTAAAAATTAAAATAAATCACAAATAGATAAAAAGATAGATAAGAAAATCGTCAATTAATTTCATTAATTTTATTAATGTTGAGTAAATTTTAATTTATAGGCTGGTGTTATTTGCTCTAATAAAAATTAATGGTTCAATATTTTAAGATGTATTAATGAAACTTATAACACGTTTAAACAAACTTTGCGTACTCTTTTGTTAAAATAAAAATGAGAATATAGAACGTTTAAATTTAAATATAGAAAAATTTATTGATGTGCTGGTATTTACAATTTTTATAATTAGTACACGTATAAAATACACGCAGTTAATATAAAGTATAATCGCGTATGTATTAGTGCAAATAAGTTTATCGGATGTTACAAAAAGAATGAATATTTTATAAGTACATTGAGGTATACATCCTTGAATATTTAAATGTTGCGACACATTTCGATTGTGTAAGAATTTATATATATCAGGTAAACACATTTTTTATAAATAATATGTGTACGTAAAGTTATTAAAATATATTGTAGAATATGAAGTATACTTACATCATTTTCTTTTTATGAATCCTGGTACAATTTTTAAAGAAATATAAAACGGTTTTTCTATAATATAATAAAATGCAGAGACCAAAATCGTTTCTTTTTTTTACAGTAAAATGTTTTTTTGTACGCGTGTTTGTATATTTAATACTTTTCGTAAAGTATGTAGATTTATGAAATAATATTTTTTTAAATATACATACACTTCAATTTATTTATTATTTACTAAAGACTATTATTATTTGTGTAAAAAAAAAAATATATATATATATAATAACTGTAATACATACATTAATTGTGTTTGACTCGCCAAAGAAAAGAAAAAATGATTCAAATTAATAAACATATATGTAACAAGTTCACAAATTATAAATTTTAATTTAAGAGTTTTTAACAAGGCTCTGTAGTATTAATATAAATTTAACATATAAGACAGGCAATAAAAAAAAAAAAGAACCAAATCGCGGATGACAGTGCGTTATCCTAAACGAAACTAAATTTTTGTCGTTAGAATTAAATACCTGTGCACAAGGCACCAAATTTTACTTGGACACGGTCAAGATATAAAATTGGAATAATCTCTACAAGAGATTTAATTCTATATATCCCCTTTTCCCCCCTAAGGAAATAAATCCCCCTAAGGAAATCGATTCCCGATTCAGCGACTTTCGGATCTATATTTTTCTCTCGCATTTATTTTCTTAGGGGGGAACAGGGGATGTATGAAATTAAATCTCTTGTAGAGATTATTCCAATTTTATATCTTGGCCGTGTCCAAGTAAAATTTGGTGCCTTGTGCACAGGTATTTAATTCTAACGAAAAAAATTTAGTTTTGTTTAGGATAACGCACTGTCATTCGCGATTTGGCTCTTTTTTTATTGCCTGTCTTATATGTTAATTTTATATTTATAAATTTTAAATTAGCAAATTAATTAAATGAGTTTCAAATTTATTCAGATTTACAATAAGTTTGCATAAACTTCAACTGTCGCTATCGTTATATATATGTATATCATTTCCATTCTTCTTATTTTTCAATTCTATACATATGTATATAATATTGCTTTATATCCAATTTAATTCGATTTTAATTCAGATATTTATTGTTCAGACCAAATTGTTTAAAAAACATAATAAATAATATATATATATATATATATACAATTCTTCGTAAAATTTAAACAAATTACATGTTGAATACAAAACAAATTACATATTGTGATTTTGCTTTTATTGGAGAATAGTGCATGGGCGAATGCTGTATAAAATTGCTTACATTGTATAAATTTATTCTCTCAACTTTGACCAACATTTTCCGGTTTATTGATATATATATATAGTTCCATTCTCCTTTTTTTCTCTCTCCCAGTCTCTCTCTGCTAAATTTTATTACTTGTATATAATCGAAGTCTACCTAATGTTCAGTTTTAATGTAACAATATCTACTTAAAAGATATAATAGTGAGTTTAAGCAAACTTGTACATATTTTTTATTGTTGTTTTACGTTGTAAATTACATTTGTTTTATTTTATAACAATGAATAAGAATACAATTGATCCAGCTAAGTCGATTCCGGCATTTTACGCTGGACAAAGTATATTTTTGACAGGCGCAACAGGATTTCTAGGCAAAGTATATTTCGAAAAGATACTGCGATCTTGTCCGGATGTTCGAGAAATATTTATATTGATGCGTCCAAAAAAAGGACTGAATATTAACGAAAGACTTGAGAAAATATTAAACTTACCGGTAAGTTATTAATTTATCACAAAAGATATCTTTTGAAACATACTAATCATTTCCTTAAGAATAGTTATAACATTTCGATTAGAAGAATTTTTAGATTATTTTTTTATTATTTTTATTATTTTTGTTTTTTTCTTATTTTGTTATTTTTTATTAGATTATATTTTTATTATTTTTTTATTATTATTTTATTATTTTTTTATTATTTATTAATATATGAAATAAAACACTGAGAGTAATTATATGAATTGTAGATAAAGTGATTTAAAAATATCCCATACAGCACCGTTAGATTGCAAAAACATTACAACAATCTTTCACCGCAATATTGCAATATTGCAAATTCACTGCAAAATGTTGCTACATCATTGCTGTTGAATTGCAGCAATGTTAAAATGTCCGCTTTTTAGAAGATAATAAAATTATTGATTATCGTTAACATCTTTTATTGTACAATATTGCAAAAACTTATTTTATTACAGTATTATACCCAGCAAATACCAAGTTACAGTTATATAATTGTTAGTTGTAATTTTCCACTCAACAATATAATTGTTATAATACACGTATTATATTTTTGAGTGGGAAATTACAACTAACAATTATATAGCTGTAACTTGGTGTTTGCTGGGTATATGTATATATATTACAATATATAAATTATAGAATTTGGATTACATGCAATATTTCCGAAATATTAATGTCATGTTGCTACAAGTGTGCTGGAATTTTGTGCACCTATATCTCTGCAATGTCTTTATAATGTTGCATTGCAACTTGCAACATTGCAACGTTGCTGCAATATAATTGCAATAATCTGTGCTGTATGGGATTTTACAACTTTTTCGTAAAAATATTTTACAGTTAAACATTATGCCAAATATTCTAATAAAAACTATATACACGTAACATTTTTTTATTTCAGTTGTACAATAAATTACGACAGGAGCAACCTTTAAATTTTAAGAAATTAATTCCAATTTCTGGCGATGCTAATCAAGAAAATTTAGGTTTATCAACTGCCGATAGACAAATGCTGATTGAAAGAGTAAATATAATAATTCATGCAGCCGCATCCGTGAAATTCAACGATACCTTAAAATACGCCATCCTTACTAATACCAGATCAACGAGAGATATATGTATCTTAGCCGAATGTGTGAAGAATCTAATCGTAAGTAAATTCGAGGTTGATTCTACATTCGCAATATTCCTGAAAAAAATTCCCTCGTATTTCATTAAGTGAAATAGCTTACATTGGGTTTTTATTTAATTTGTGATGTAGTAATATTTTCATTGCACATTTATTTCTACATGTTTTTCTTGAGGTACATCTTTCTAGCTTAACATGTGAAATATATATACACATATGTTATGTATATATTTACAAAAGATATTATAAATATAAGAGATGTACATTGGTACCAATTAGTATAAATTATTTTTTTATCGAATTATTTGATTGAATGTAGATTTTATTCAATAAGAAATTTAACTGGATATTATTTTGAAGCAGAAAATTAATTATAATAATCTGTCTGAAATTAAACACAGCTATATGTTTTGCTCTGAACTCTATATAACTATAGTATTTTGACTAAAATACGATTGTATAATATTAATTTTTTTATCTGTTAAAGGCCTTAGTATATGTTAGCACAGCATATTCACATTTGGATAATCCATTTATAGAAGAAAAATTATATTCACCTGTAGATGATTGGCGGAAAATGATAAAAATGGCTGAATCATTGGATGAGCATATCTTGAATATTTTTACAATTAAGTAAGTGTATCAATCATAAATCAAATACATCATATGCTTATATAAATTTTAAATGTGTCAATTAGAAAATATAAAATTATTCTCTTCTATTAATAATGTAATATTCCAATTATTTTTGATCATTTTTTCATGATTTATTTCAATATTTTTGTTTGACATTATGTGCAGATGTTTGAATAATATTCCCAACACTTACATATTTTCGAAAAACTTAGCGGAGAGTGTAATACAGGAATATTCTTTGTCCTTGCCTTGTGCGATTGTGAGACCTTCCATAGGTAGGTATCTTTTTTCTTTAATGTTAAAAACTTTGTCTTTCCTTTTCTTTAATGTTAATTGTAATATACAAATAATGCGGAAAATATATATATTTATATTAAATTTTAAATTTTACAGATAACTTAATAACAGATTACACCATTATTAAGAATAAATATATAAAGATTCTACGTATTAAAAATATAAAACAATTAAAAGGCCATAATAAGAATCATGCGTAGAGGTCGTGCACGCAATATAAAATTAAAGAGGATAATAAATTAAAGTAATAAATGAATCATACAGTTGAATATAAATTTAATTATCTGACGTTTCGGTCCCATTTTGGGCCATCTTCAGAGATTCCAATGCCATAAAATAAATAAAAACTCGTGTGTTTAAAGACTGCATACTGCGGATCGATCTATCGTCAAGGAAGCCTCCCATCGATACCAAACGATAGAAAAACGCATCTCCATGCACTCCATTAAACGAAAGAACAAATACTGCGAGAGCTGTCAACAATGTACACTCTTCAAACGACACATTACAAATGACGAGAGATCAA